CCACTCCCCCCAACTCGCCTCCTCTCCCCGCTGCTGCCAGCAAGGCCGACGCTCCCACGGCGCAGCACGCCATGCTCGCCGCCGCGGCTTCACAGACTCTACTCGGCAAGCTCGGTGGCGCGTTCTGGGACGCGTTCGCGCGCCCGTCGGGGACGCTCGGCCCGAACGGCCACGTTAAGAAAGAGTGGGACGCGGACAAGGTCCGCCGTATCATGGAGGGCACGGCTGTGCTCAAGGTCGTCGACGTCGAGCCTCAGCCTTCTGTCGCCAAGGCGCCTGCTGCGACTCCTGCGCCGCTTAAGCAGGAGAAGAACTGCCTTAAGGAATGCCCTTCCAGCAAGGTTGCGGACATCCTTGCGGAGAGCATGGCGACCCTGAATCTCGGCCGCAAGTAGATTTCTTGATTGAGACTCCCTTAGCGACTTGCCAAGAGGACGCGTGCACGTCCAAGGTGAATATGAGGTTGACGTTACCCATGGCCCAAGACGAATAAGTATTCGCTATACGATTTCGCAATCTTCTCGCTCGCTGTTCGCTGAGCGAACCCACCCTCCTTATTGTCCATAGTTTCTTGACCCCCCTCTCTCCCAGTTATATATTGGTTCTCCCGTTTAATCGCCGTAGCTACTATACTCTCCTTCCTCTCGTCCTCGTCCATCCCTCACGAAGCCCTATCCCGACTCCAAGGACTTCCCGCTACTCCCGGATCTCAGTCATCAGCAATCAAATCCCCGCTCCTCTCGTCTGCCGAATCCGACTCCCGAAATCGATTGAAGGCATCTCGTCGAACTCCCGATTACCTGCCCTTCTCAGTGTGCCTGCTACCATCCCTTCCCCTTCCGGTATCCCTCCACCCCTCCCTCTGCCTTTCCTCGGTATTTAGTAAGATCCTCCGCTAGTCCAAGGCATGTCTGGCGCCGGGGTGTCTCGATTGTCTCTTCTTGAAAGGACGCTCTGCACGTTAGGCGGCCACCCTTCGTTGTACATAAGGTCCATCCTTGTCTCTCTGTGTCTCGGAATTGTCGAATAGTCGCATCACTGTATGAGTAGCTGCTTTGTCGTTTGAATCATAGAATGTTCTAGTCTACTATCAGTGTGGCATCCAGTGTGTTGTGCGCGATGTGTGGGCTGCCGTCAGTGCGTGTCCGCAATGTCAGTCAATTCACTTGCGTCCATGCAGTCTGAGGTCTACCGAACTAGAGGCTGATTCGGTCTCGACTTGTCGCGTGCACCAAATATCGTTTGGGCTCGTTGGACGCGCGCGGGGATAGGCAATGTCAGATGGGATCACTCAAGACGTCTTACGGAGCCAGAACGGTTCCTGATACATATACATTATGACCCTACGAAACATACGCAAAGTCTTAGGATACAATTGCACGCTCTTCACGGGCGCGCAACGAACCCACTGCTGTCACGGCTCGCGAAGCCCGCCCCACCTGGCCCACAATAGCTGAATACCAAGCACCAAGCCGGCCCCCCGCTGTACCGCTCCTGATCCGCCGCGGCGCGCAACGCCGACGCCTGGCTCGAGCCAAGCATCGAGTGGACGTCCGCGATAAGCCCGCCTCCGAGCGCCCTGCGCTCTGCGAGCCTCTCTCTTCGCGCATCTGCGATGGGGTTATGCAGGGCCGCGCGTCCGCCCCAGCCGAAGCCGCGACCGTACGTCGCGCTGCCTCCGCTGTAGTCGGACTGGGGGTACTTGAGGACGAGGGAGACTTCGATATTACGCCGGTTCCAGAAGTCCTGTTGGGGCCTGAATGAGTATACTGGAGAGGAGGGACGAGAAAGAAGGGGGAGAGACGAGAGGACGACATACCCGGTTCCACTCCGCGATGAGCTGCGAAATGGGCTCCTGCGCTCTGGAGGTCCCTCTGCTTGTGTGGGAAGTAGCGCTCTCGATGATCGCTCCCAATAGACCTACAGCAGGGTACCACAGTCTGTAAGTACCTCCAGCATGCAGGTGACGCATAGATAAGGTGCTCACCGCCGCGGCCAAGGCCTAGGAGGCCACCTCGCAACGCGAACGCAGCGTTTGAGTTGGGCGAAGGCTCGGGGACGAAGTTCTCCCTCAAGCGTTCCTCTGGCGACGTCCGCGCGACCCGCTGAACATCCATGAGGAACCGCAGCCAGTCGTCCTTGGTCACGTCGTGCGAGGCGAAGGTGTGAGGCTGCTCGTACGAGGGCGGGAGGTCTGTCGGGAAACCATCGGAGAGACGATATCCGGCTGCGGGGACTATAATGGTCCCGAACGGCGCGAAATTGTGAGAGGGCTGCTTATACTGCTTCGGCTTTGGCGATGGTTGCCGTTGGTTTGGTTGCGAACTCGCGATGCGGTTTTGCGACTGAGGCAAGCTGTAGTAACTTGGAGGAGGCCCGGATGGAGTAGGGTAGTCGCGAGGCGCGATGTAGCCGTTGGATTTCGAGCTGTAGTTGGACATGTCGAGATCTGAAGATTTGAGGTCCATCACTGGCATGCCCTACAGTACGAGTAAAGTTGGCATTGGAGAACAGCAGGCTTATATATCACGACTAGTAGCACATCAGCCATTGGCGGCCCCGACCTCCTCAACCATATAGACGGTCGACATGAAGCTGTGTAGGTGTATGCTAGCGACGCGGTAGCGGGTGCTTTGCCTACTGAGCCGTGCGCAGGCGAGACCGGTGACCGTGCAACATACCCGCCTAATCAGCGGGACTGCCACCGCACACAAATTGACATCCGAACCCCTGGCGCATCAAATCTCTCAATAAATGCACGACAGGGAGTATAAAAATGTGGTGACTCACCTAACGGCGTCCTCAAGTGTGCCTTGTTGGGTTCCGGGGTTTTGCCCTTCGGGCCCGGAATAGCGCACAATACGCATTACTGCTATGTACACATGTTTTCAGAAACACTGATCTCTCCGAACGTGGTCAGTTTGAATAGCTTCGAGCGCGATGAAACGGATAGGTTCGGCGCAAACCCCTCGCACGGGAACGCGAGAGGGGTTTGTGTCAAAGTCCGACTTGACCAAAGGGTCTGGAGGATGATCGATCATTAGAATCAATTTGTAATCAGATAAGAACCAGAGTAAATGTGAATGTTTATGTCCAGTAACAAACGTGGTGCATTATGGATCGCGAGCCGAACGGGTGCTCAAGTCCACTGGTTGGGCTGCTGTCTACGGTACGCCTAGTCTCAATTGTGCATGTTCGAGCAGTCCGGTGCGCCGCTGAACGCCCTATTGACAACGCGGCGGCGGCGGCGCAAAACTACTCACGATTCCCCCCGTCCATCTACGCCACCATCTCCTTCTCCACTGGACTATCATACCCCTGCTCTCGTTGACGCGACCCCTCCAGTAGCTCGGCACGGAGGCATGCTCCGAATGGAGCTCGGACATCGTAGACGGCGGAGAGGAGCAAGGCTCTCCGTACAACACTGCGCGGCTGACTGTTTACAAAATGTCTTATGTTACTTTGATTCCCCGCTTAACTGATTTCTTATCGGCTTGTTATCCATCATTAGTAACGGGTCGTCGTCCAGACCCTTTTGAATATCCGGACTTTGATACAAGACCGTCCACGCTGACACGCGGACGGTCTTGGTCGAGACTAATGAAACGGATATGTATCGGCGAGAACCGTTGTCTGAGGAGTCTTGAGCGCTCTTCGGGCGCTCACCAGGCTGTGTCTCTATTTTGGGACTCCCCCGCTTTCTTCGGACTTGGGTTGTACCCACGTAGCCGACCCATCCCACAGCCATCGCAGCGACGCCAACATCGGACACCGCGCTGATGTCAATGCATTATGCAACATGTGGCTTCAGATGAACCAACTCACAAGGCTTGATGCATGATGAGCAATATCTCTGTGAGAATCGCAAGTTGATCTCATGTGCGTATGCAGTCGAGTTTAGTCGCTAAACAGATTGAAGTACAGAATAGGAGCGAAGTCCGATATATACGTAGACGAATGACTTTATAAGACATGCCTTCAAGCCATTCACTTCACGGGCGTGTAGCCCACCCACTCTCATTCCCTCCTGCAAAACCCACCCCAGCCGGTCCTGTATAGTGGAATACCAAACACCAGCCCGGTTTACTGCCATAGCGTGCCTGGTCTGCAGATGCGCGGTATGTCGAGGCTTGGCTTGAGCTGAACATCGAGTGCACGTCTGCAATGATGTCTTGCTTGAACGCACTACGCTCCTGCCTCTTCTCCTTGCGGGCTTGCCTGCGCCCGCCTCCCCCGAGCCCGCCAAGCAGCCCGCCGCGGTCAGGCATCGCACTCAAGCCGGAGTCACTAACGTCCTTCAATACAAGGGACACTTCAATTTGGCGACGATTCCAGTAGTTCTGATAGGCTCATATTAGGGCGCAGGAGACTTGGACATATAGGGAAGGACAACGTACCCGGTTCCAGTCAGCAAGAAGCCGTGAAATGGGCTCTTGCGCCGCTTTGGCGCCGCTACCACCACCCATGCGGGAGCTGGCACCTTCAGTCGCTGCTCCTAGTAGGCCTGCAACATTCGCGCCGATTGTCAGCATTCCCGAATGAAGTTGGATGCATGATGAAGACACTCACCGCGGACGAGACCGCCCCGTGCAGGCATGAGCATAGGATTCGCGTTGCTCGACGGCTCGGCGTGGAAGTTCTCCCTCAAGCGCTCTTCAGAGGAGGTCCGTGCGATACCGTTCACATCGAGTAGGAATCGTGCCCAGTCGTCTTTGATCACGTCGTGCGAGGAGAATGGATGGAGCTGCTCGTACGCGAGTGGGAGGTCTGTCGGGAAGCCGTCGGCGAGCCGATAACCGAGCGCATAGACGGTGAAGGTCTCGAACGGAGGAAAGGCAGAAGGACGACTCGGTAATGGAGGTGGCGTTCGCTTCGTAATGCTGGTATATGCGGATAGCGGCTCTGGAGGACTCGAAGCGGGGGATTGGGAAGAGTATGTTGGAAATTGTGGTGGCTGGTTCGTGTATGGGGATGGCTGCTGTCGCGGAGGATATGGATCTGGAGACCGGTGCTCATCCAGAAACGGGTTGTTGTTGTACACTGGATTGTTGTACGCTGGAGGAGCACCAGCAGGAGACTCGTAGTCGCGGTTCGTATCAGCGTATCCTGCGGATTTAGGGTAGGACATGTCTATGTCGGAGGTTCCGAAGATGAGTGATTTGAGGGAAGTACTGGAGTATGTGCCAATCATATCCGGAGCAGGATCCCTATATAGGACTGTGAACCTGTGCGTCTCGGACCGTGGCCGTCTAACCGTCGGTGGCAGTGCAGGTCCGGGAGTAGTCGCAGCTGTGCAGAGCCCCAGGACGGAAAGTTCAAGGGTCCGGGTGCTGATAGCTGCATACCCGCAAAACTGACGCTTGCTTGGGGCGTATGGAAAGGGGATTGGAGACACTGGCGTGCTGTAGACAGGAACAGGATGTGAGTGCGTCTTGCCCTTTGCGAAGATGTGTCATGAGGGTTACCCCTGGGTTTTGGTGTGCGTGATTTGCACCTCGATTGTCGGGAGTCAGCATGCTGCCGAATTCGCGACAGTGCCATGGATACATGTCGCTGAAGAAACTTAGCTCCTTGGTCTCTCTCAGAGTGCACAGCACTTCAGCCAACTGCAAGCAGGACAGTGATCCGCTCAGACTCGGACCGAGACTGCGCCCGCAGGACTCCACGGGTGGCTACTTGCACCATCATACGTAAACTTGAATCAATGAGCGCCTCCTTCGGCTGCGAGGCACTCAAGAACACATTGGCATAAAAATCCGATTCAAATGCCTGCTGTCATGCTCTAGCTCTGGCATGGCAAGAAGATAGAGCAACCGTTTCTACACATGGCGCCAACAGGCTTACTTGCCCGACGCACCGAAAGATTGAAGTTGCACGCATTTGAGGGCTCCCCTAAGCTCGATGAACGGAGCAGGACAAGTGTATGAGAATGCTGTATAGAATCGTCGTCAGCCACATAGCTAGAAGAAGGTCGAAGAGATTCGCTAACGGCGTACTCGAGCTTACTGTAATCGAAAGCTTACTGTAATCGAAGGCTTATGTTGTACGAGACGGCGTCAGAGTGTCTTGCAGCCCTTACGAGGGCGTGCGGCGGATAGCATAACAGATTGGGCTGCATACTTCCACAAAATCTGAGCATTAATATATTACCGGACCACGACGAGATTACACTGATACACAGCCTCCAACTTGAAGGGCGCACGCACAATCAAGATGCGTCGCAGGCACACCATACTCATATCTAATGGTCCTGTCCGTGATGCTTGTATGCGATGTGGAGGAACCACCCGGATCCCCTCAGGTTAGCCGATGGGCGCGAGGGAGACGAGCCACTCGGTCTAAGTTGACCAGGGTACTTCGTCTTGTCCTTGTGATCATGCGGTTCGTCCCTTTCGTGCGAGTACCCATGGATGCTGTTTGGAATATCAACGTCGGAGCCGGGTCGGGCAGACTGCATGTATGGCTGCACCATCGGCGGCGGGGCCATTATGGTACCGCCCGCCTGGACGACAGTGACCTCCATGTATCTAGGATTCCAATAGCACTGAGGAAGTGGAGATGTAAGCTGAGTACATTATAGTAGAAAGGGACAAGTACACACAGCATTCCAGTTCTGGATGAGCTCCATGACAGGCCCACGCTTCTTCATCTTCTGTTTTCGCTCGATGCCCTCACTTAGGAGTAGAGCTGGAGTAATATCTCGGTCAGCATATACCTAGGAAGTCGTGAAGACAATCACTGACCAGGCAGAAACGCAGTGCCCAGGAGGGCAGGGGCTATGTTGAAAACGATTCGGTCACTCCAACCAAGTGACCCGGCAGCCTTCAAATCTGCTAGGAAGTGCATCCAATCCTTCTCCGTCACATCGTGGGTCGAAAACGGATGCGGCCGCGTCGCCGTCTGCGGCAGAGTCGCAGGGAAGCCCTTTGCGAGGTACTGGTGACCCAGCGACGGGATCGTGATCATTTCGAACTCGGGGTATTGCTGGTCTGACGGTGGAGTGCGCGAAAAGCACGCGGGCGGGGGGTTGAGAAGGTTTTGGGTGGACTTGCCCCCGGCGAACTTGCCGACCTGGCTCGGGTGCTTGTTGGAGCTCGGGATGTGAGTCGGGGCATACCCGTTATAGAAGAGGTCGGATCCCGGGGCGCTGCGAAGCGGGTCGGGACTGGGGTGAAAGTCGTCGGTCCAGGAAAATTTCTTATTATCGGGCTTTTGATCCAGCTTCTGCTCGATATCGTACGCGGGCGGCGGTTCGGTGTAGTCGTTACCATATGAGCTCTCACCGGTGACGGCTATAGGCAAATTCATCTGGGGGGCTGGAGCAAGGGTGCAAGGGGAGAACTAGCCGTTGAAGAGGAGGCTGCCGGGCGACCTGCACTGTGAGACAGACTACTGCATTTGCTGTCGAGTTGGAAGTGTTCGGACATTGTCAGTCCAGGGATCCGTATGTGCAGGTTGCAAACGTAACCCAAAGCCCTTATAGTCTCTCATAGGCGATGTACACCAAGGACCGAGCACGATTGGCTTCGCAGGGGCATCCGCATTCAACATAATGCTGCCCTCGGTTCGAGAGCATCGCTAAGGGCCGCCGGAGGGAGGCTCAGTGAGTAACGACTTGATGATCAACGGGAAGAGACCAAAGTGGCTGTGGCGCGGTGAACCGCTTATCCAAATATGGCCGCTGGGATCGCCAAGTCGTCTGCGTCAGATAGTCGTCAAATTAGCATCAGCGACAAAAAGGCAGGGCAAGGGCGGCAGCGCAGCAAAGATAGAATTAACGTACTAGCACAGCTTTGAGGGTACGGTGGGCCTAGCCAAGGAAGCCAAAACAGCCTGTTGAACGTCAAGAAGATACGCCGCATTCCAACCTACACTTGGACAATACAACAGTCCGTCCCTTGCACTCAACACGAGAATGGGTCAGATGAAGGGTAAGCTGTGTATGAATGTATGAACACACGCCGAGAAAATACACATGAAGGAATCAGGGACAATATCAAATATACACCAGTCTCCAGGATATACAGTGCAATGCAAAGACTACCCACAGCGCGACGCCCACGCTCCCGTACTCAGCCTCGGCCTAGCTCGCTCTACCTGCACCCGACAGTCAGTCAATCCATCGCTGCATACGGGCACACCTTGGGGCAATCAACTCGGCGCCGCGCCGCCCGAAGGGCTCGTCCGCCCCGAGTCGGAGGACTTGTCCTTGCCCGTGCTCCTCTCCGCGATTGAATCCGCGAGCTTGACAAGCTCGGGGTCCTGCAGAGACGATTTGCCATCCCACGCCTCCTGGATGAGCGACATTGTGCTTTCCAGGCTGCGTCGACGGGTACTCGGGCTGGTCATCGTCGTACCGAGCGACGCTTGGCGGCCGTGGCCTCGGCGGAACGGCGAGGCCGTCGCCGACAGGGGCGACGTAGGTGAGATGGGCGAGCCAGGGGAGGGTGGCGCGGCGGTGTTGATGGACGTGGGTGCCGTGCCAGCGATGACCTGCTCGAGTGCGGCAGTGACACCGTTGGGCGAGACAGGGGGTGCGTTATCTTCGGCGGGAGTTTGTGGCACAGAGGAGATGAGGCCCTTGCCCTCTTCGGATTCAGGGTCGTAGAGGTCGGGGGGAAGGCGCTCGTTCTCGATATCCGACTTACGACTTGGATGTGAGACAGACGATCAGATATGATGCAAGAAGAATTTCTGCTAACAACGTACGCGTCATCGAAACCGGAGATGGCTTCCTTGATGCCCTCCGCTCCCAGTGCAAGGGTACCATAGGGCAACCTCGCAGATCCAGACACGCTCTTGAGCTCCGAAACCTTCTCGGACTCCTCACTACATGACGGATCAGACGCAATCGGGATAACGGTGGAAGACGACAAATACCGCAAAAGCGCGAAAACTCTGGCCATACGACCAACAGCAAGGATCTTGTTCTTGATGACCTTGCGACGCTCCTGTGCATCCTCAGACGGCGTTGGTGAGATGAGCGTCTCCTCATCTGAGCTTTCCTCGAGTTCTTCCTTAGTGCAGCAGTTGAGCATCGCCAACAGCATGTCGGTGACTACCCCCAATGACGTCAGCGCTAAACCGTCCGTAAACGAATGCAGCGAAGACAACGCACTCTTCTCGCCGACGAACGGCAAACTCCAGGTAAACGCATCCATGAAGTTCGGGAGCCAGTACGGGTGCGGCGTCGCGTTGAACTGACGAATGTTGAGCACATTGCTCTCGTACTTCAGGATCGCGGCCTTGTTGTTGTACACATCGAGATAGTTGGGGGCGGAAAAGAGCGTCATGACAGAGGGGAAGCCGGTCGTGCGTGTCTTGCGGTACATGCGGTAGCTATAGTCGTCACTGGTCAGAATCCCCATCTCGTAGGCGATATGTAGACGATGACGTACCCAGCATCCTGCGCCTCGTGTGCCCGGATGATCGACAGCAGTTTGTTCCGTTCGAGGAACTGGCATGCTGCTTGGTACCTGCATGTCCGCTATCAGCGACACAGGATCCTCGGAGACGACCGACGAACACGCACGTGAAGAAGTAAGAGCATCCGCGTACGTGGTTGTGCACGAAGCTGTCCGAAGTCTTCTCCTGCCCGAAGTCTTCGACCGGGTCCGACCATAGGATATCACACATGAGGCCCTGAGTGGGCGGCTCACGGAAGCGGTCGATCTGTATAGAGATCGCGGATAAGGGACGGACCAAGACCTGCGATCAAACGGACGGCGACTTACGTTACGGATGTCATCGAGAGTGTTCAGCTCAGGCGATAGACCACCGTGGATGCAGAAGAATTGCTTGTTCATGATAGCGGCCAGAGGAAGAGCACAGAAGGACTGCATGCACGCATCATAGATGCGCTCAGAGTACTTGCGCTTGCCTGAAAGCGACGAGAACGGTAAGGCCGGGATCCTCGGTGCACGGAGGAAAATGAACAAGCATACACTCAAGCTTGAAGGTGAAGTAATCGGTCAAGTGGCGGCACTCATGGTTTCCGCGAAGGAGGAAGAGAGTCTCGGGGTACCAAATTTTCAGCGACCACAGGTACAGCACGCACTTCCCCCGCAAAAGTCAGACGCGCAGGTCCTTGGAAAGCTGTAGAGGACACGCACCTCGATGCTGAAGTATCCTCGGTCAACGTAATCACCTAGGAAGAGATAGCGAGTCGTTTCGGGGTTGCCACCAATCTCGAAGAGTTTCATCAAATCATACTGTAATGGGGCGACCATATCAGGCCGTAGAACAGGGCCTCACGAACAGGCGAACTCACATATTGTCCGTGAATGTCACCGCACACTGCCCATACAAGAGGTAGAGAATAACAGGAGGATTGAGTATGAGGGACGTATAGCAACTGCATGCGGAAGTCATAGAGACGTACCGGTTACGGGAGCGTCGACATAAAGCAGATTAGGCTCAGCGCGGAGAATCTCAGTACCCTTCTCGAGGATGTAGAGCGCATGCTCCTCAGATATACGTCCCTCGCGGTAGAAGTGGTTCTTCAAGAACGCCACGTCCGGCTTCGACGGATCCGTTTTCGAGAAGAACTGGGCGTCGGTAGGGATACTCATAGCCGGAGCTTGCACCTGTTGATCGAGCCCCGCCCTCAATTCCCGTGCCTACCAAAACGATGCAAGGCGTAGCAACATGCATATAAACGCACCTCTTTGACGACGCGCTCCTGAGTGGAGATGGTATAGCCATTCTCGAGCTGGTGCTGGGTGAAGTCGATCTCCGGGAGGGGGCCCTTGTCCTGGATCTGGTCAATGGCTTTCTGGATCTGGGCTTGTGTCCCGCTCATCGTGCAACTGCTGCTCGTCGGTCGGTCGTGAATACAGTCGGAGGCGATGGGCGAGACAGCGGAGGCGAGAGGATGGGTGGAGGGCGGTGAAGGCCTCTTCTGCAGTGCGATCTCCCCCTACAAGGCGGAGTTTGAACGTCGAATAAGCGGGGCCAATAATCTTGTACTTACAAACCCCTGCTCTCTACTCAACAACTTGACACGGCTCTCCCCTTGGCTGATCAGCTTTTGAAGATATATCAGAAGCGATGGACACGCAGCATGCACTGTTCGTGCCTGATAAGGGCGGACGCATTGTAAATCCAATGCAAATAGGATTGCGGACGCGATACGATGAACGAGCGCGCACGCTCATGATTACAGGTTCATGATCCAAAATATAGAGGTAGTACATGTTGTGCGACGTTGAATCCCAGTAACGACACTATGTACCCTGTGAAAAGGGGAAGCAATGGTGCCAGCAGAAGTTCTGTGCGTACAAGGAATGGCAGAGCTGCAAAGAGCATTAGACGGGCTTCGTGGGAGACCGATCGGAGCCGTTACGCACTGTTTAGTCCCAAGTAGACCCCATATATGTACTGTGCGAACCTAACCGACGTGTGTGAGAAACGTTGTGATGACAGTACTCGAGGTGACATACCCTGCTAGATAAAGTGTGTTCGACACGAACAGGCATACCCAGTTGTTCTTCAGGATGATAGGAACCAAGAACAGCTGAGCAAGGTACAACGTTAAATAGAAAGGAAAGAACGCGTTTGTATGGACATCGAAGGCATACGCCCATTCGACCCTTGCGTCTTCCAGCGTTGAGTGTGACGGCGGTGAGAGCAATACGCGGTTGGCGAAGAACCTATTTTGATACATTCAACACGCGAGTTGCAAAGGTTATCGGAATGGCTGCATGTATACGTACCATAGTATTGTAGCAATCACGAACCCGACAAGGAGATAGTCGCGGACAACCATGAGGATAGCTAACCCAATAGCTCCCCAGATGCCGTACGAATAGACAACCGACCACGCGACTGCGGATACTGACCCACAACATTCATAGGCGTAGAGGAGATCACGCACAGGCCGACTCACCACATAGACACGCTGCGATGAGTATGAGTATGGCCGGATCATCTCTTGCCCATGTATTCTTGGTTTCTGTCCCGGGCTGTCAGTCTACGACATATAAGCACGTAAAGAAGCGCGACTTACGTTTGTGGAAGTACACGTTGCGGTAACTGAGAACAGTTGAGGACAGAATCTGCGCCTTCAAAAGGGCACTCAACTCACACTCTCTTCGGAGCCAGACATAGGTATGTTAATTGCCAAGCCGCCTGCTCGAAGTCCTACTTCCCCCGGAGCGTTCACATTCGTCCAGCGCCCGAGACCAATTGCACGAACGCACCATCTGCTGAAACCGGTGTAACCTGCGGAATATTACAGGTACGCGAACCAGCGCAGGTGAGGGGTTCCGGTACTGCCCGCCGTTGCCGGGGTTTGGTGAGGTCACAGGTAGCACATCCATATCTGCACGGATCCGCGGACGTGTACGGCGAGCAGAGACCACAGTGGAGAGGAGATGAGCTATCTCAAAAATACGAGTGTGGCCAGCTTTCAGAGTATGCCTTCCAGTGTATAGCAGACGTCGATGTCGCGGGTGTAGACCAGAGTAGACGGAGGACTTAGCGGAGGCCGGTGGCAGCACCGTACTTGGCTTAGGTAGGCGCCCATCACACGCGGCAGCGGAGATACCTGGTTTCGCGCGGAGCTTGATATTGTTCTGCAGGCCCTAGTCTCGGTCGCCGCCGAAGACATCCTCGACTCTCACTTACAGCATCACAAGCCCTCCCCTCATCATCGCCCTCGACGTTCACCATGCCCGAGGAAGACGTCGAACGCCTCGATTGGGGAGACGATGAGCAGCAAGCCCCTCCGGACTCGAACTACGACTACTCGCCAGGCCTGTCGCAGAGCGGATACACGGGTGCCGCAGAGGACCCGGAGGACGCAGTCTCCTTGGGAGGCGACGATGATGACGAGCGCGAGTACTACGCTAACCATCATCACTCTGAAGAACAGGCTTCCGTAGCTGTCCCTTCTCCTTTCTCAACATCCGTGTCGCACGCAGGCAAACGCGACAGTCAGCGCCAATCCGCCACCACACCCTCCAGGACACCTTCGCGTGCCAAAAACTCTGAGTCCCCTTCCAGGGAGTCTCGACCACCCAACTCCCAAGGCAAGCTTCCGCCAGCACCGCTCATTCACGGCCTCCCCCCGAAACCCACTATCGTAGCGCCGCCGCCTTCTTTCGAGCCAGCTGCAGAAAATGGGATTCGTGCAAGCGCCATGACCAACAGCAGGCGACGCGGGGTCAACGGTGGCGGCAAGGCGGCGGCCGCTCCTGATGGGAGCGATCCTCTGCCACCAGATTGGGAGATCCGATATCCTCGAAATGGTGGCAAGGACGTCTACTATTACAACAGCAAGACGGACGAATCGACATGGTCGCGGCCCAGACTCCCAAACCATGGGCGCTCTTCGCCGACGAAGAGCGGTGGTGCTCAGAGTTCTGGGCGTCGCTCCCCTGACATACAAGATAACCCGCCTGAGAGAACGGGCCGCAGCCAGCAGCCGCGCGTCACGCGCAGAGACGCGAACTCCCGTAGACAGTCGCCGCTCCCTGGCCAGGATCTGTCATACGCGGATCGTCACTATAGACCGAATGAGGCTCCCGCAGATGCCCCTACTGCTAACTCTAGTGATCGGCGTGGTGAACGTGGCATCTCTGGCTCGAGATACGTTCCTGAGACGTCTTATGGGCCGGGGCGGTCACCCTCGCCACTGCCTACAGGTGGTGACAAGCGTCGGGCAAGGTCGTCAAGTCCTCAGTGGGACCGCGTGGGTAGGCGAGACTCTTCCCCGACTCCGTCTCAGGAGCGTATAGTGTGGCAGCAGGATCGTCAGGCAGGAGGCTCCGACTCCGGCTGGGGACGTTCTCAGGAATATTCCGAGGTTGTGCAGTCTGTCAGTCGATCCCCCTCGGGGCGTCGTCATCGTCGCAAGGACGACATCGAGCCGCCGATACGACGCAAGGACGACATCGAACCGCGTATCCGTCGCAAAGACGATATAGACACTCGTATCCGCAGGAAGGACGATGTCGAATATCGTCTCAGCCGCAAGGACGACAACGAGTCGCGCTTCAGGCGTAAAGACGACATTGAACCACCTCTCCGTCGCAAAGACGACATCGAACCTCCGCTGCGTCCGTTGCCTCCGATTTCACGCCACACCGACGAATGGGTGGCTCCAAGTACGAGTACGTTATTCGCCTCATCCTCCGCCTCCCGTCTTTCGCCTGGCTCTCCCTCCCGAGGTGGAGGACAAGTGCAATCCGACTGTCTCGTGAAGCCTCGGGAGCCCGTCTCCCCATACACTGTCTCCCCGCCGAATGTCTCCTGTACATACGAGGACGCTTCTCCTGGACGCTTCGACCCCAATTTCTCCGTGCCTCTTCCTTCTTCATGCCTCACGCTCCAATCGCTTCTTTTACGAACCCTTTTCCTTTTCTCTTGCAGGACTTCGCTCTCCGCCGCTCCACCTGCGCGAACCCTCGCCGCCGCCAAGGCGCAACGGCACGTCTCTATCTATGAATCCGGGTTATATCGTGCCAGCGTCAAGTAGTGCAAGGGAGCCGTCGCGCTATGAGCGCCCTGACAGTCCACCACCACCAGCACGCTATCGCGACAATCTCACAAACGACGGTCCGCCCCAGAGAAGGAGCAGGGATGTAGATGTTCCCGATCAGGGCATGGAAACGAAGCGTAGACGTTTGAACGATGACCGCAGTCCGCCTCGGCGCGATCCTAGCGACCTCCCTACTCTGGCCCCTACCCTTCCGACAAAACCGGTGGTCGGTAATACTTGGCCCTCAGCGCCCGAACGCGAGCCTCAGAGTATATATCACGTTGTCTTCCACCTTGGTCCTCTAAACTAACAGCGCGGTGTTCCATAGATCACATGCGCCCTCCACTTCCCCCTCAGCAAGAGCAATGGAAGAACTATTCCCAGTTGCCTCCTCAGCGACACTACGGCCGTTCCTATGATGATTCGCGTGCCGAGAAGCCTCCATTCAACCCGATCCCCTCACCTATCTCAAACCCACCGCCCATTGAACAGTATCTAGGCTTCAATCCCGTCAATCAGAACCCCCCGGATGGTCGATCACTGCAAGAGCACACTGCGGATCTACGGAGAAGGGAGCCGAACAATCCTTACTACCCGCAATCTTCATGGGCTCCAGACGCCATGGACGTTGACAAACCGTCTATGCCAAGGATCGACGTTCCTGGGAGGTCCAGCATGGGAGGCATGTACTCTGATCGCATGCCTATAACAATCCATCCTACCCCTGCTCCGGAACCCGCGCCTCGTGCCCCAAGGGCGATGGTTCCAAGGGACAGCAATGCTTACCAGTCAGGTCTCCCAACGCTCTCGCCGACGTCGCCCTATAGCCCGCGTTCGGTCGGTCCCCCAGTCGTCGAACCCCCGGGTCCGTTGTCACTGCCCATACGTATGCGTCCTGGGCTGCCGCCGCCAATGAGCGAGCGCCACTGGGAGCCCAACGGCTCGCGGCTACGGGACAGTTTCTCTGGTCCCGGTCCTAGTCCTGTCGACCCTCCGCCTGTCGGCCTGCCGTCGAGGCTCATCAATGACATGGGGAGGAATCTTCCCGAGCGACCTGTCTCGCGTATGCCTGTGTCCCAGGTAAGTTGTCCGTTCTTGTGCTCGAGAACTTGTTTCTGATTATCCGCGAATAGCATGAAGCTGGACGAGGCCCTCCGCCGCCTCGTAGCACCGGAACCAATAGCATCCCTATCGGGCCTCGAACTTCTGTGCCCGAGGGCACTGCCCTGCATCCCGATCCCCCTACGTCGTTCCGTCCGCCGAACAACGGGTACGACTCGTACCGCCCGTCGCAGAACGCGGATCGTCAGAGCGTGGATCGTGCAAGTGAGCCGTCTCCAGCCTACACAAAACGGGTACGCCAGCTGTCCGTGTTGGGACGTAGACTGATGCTGACAGGCATGTAGCCGATGCGACACCCTCACGATGAGCCGACCTCCGATCGATCTCGCTCCGACCGAGCTGGTCGACGTCCGTCAGTTATTCCCAATGAGTCTATGGTGCGCAATGTCCGTCCTTATCCCCATTACTTACTCTCATTCACGTGAACAGCGCCGTCCTGTCAATGACAGCCCTGTTAACGAACGTGGTCCCAGTCGTCAGGTCTGTACAAGTTTTGAATCCACGTGACAGGTCTCTGACGTATCGTAGTCGAGATTCGGTCCTCCGAGCACTCCGGTAGAGCCGGGCGCTCCCCGCATCTGGCAAACAAGAGACGAGGCACTTCAAATGCCACGTTCGAATGAAGATAGCATACTGCGGGAACCTAGAGAGTTAGTGCGATTGCTTTTTCGTTCCAAATACTTCCTCACCGTCTTGAAGCATCGCGGATCGCCTAATGCGCGACGATCGTTCTGCATGGCGTTCTTTTGGTCCATCCCGCGACGGTCTACCCCGGAAACGTGTGGACCATCTCGAGGAGCAATCAGGACGGTCATTCGCTCCGCCTCAGCCTTCGTCCCACCCGCTCCCTGACGTCCCACCTCGGCAAGACAGAGCTGCTACCCCTCCTCTCGCCACAGACCGTCGTGATCAGGAGTCTGTGCTTGTAGACATCCCGGCTGTTGGGAAGGTACATCCAGATCGTGCCCGTCTCCTTGACGGTCCTGAGAAGGAGAAGACTTCCAAGCCAGTCCGCATCCGTCGCCCAGCCAAGTCTCCGGACCGCGGCTTCCAAGACAGGCCCCCATCGGTCGAGGACGGCCGTTATGGCAACCTTCCTGCCAAACCCAACGACGGACGTTTGGGCATGAATATGCTTCCACCGCGAGATAGGTCCTCGCCACCTGCGGTCGCACAGAACGGCTACCGCCCTGCCATCAAGCGTGGGACGTCCTTACTCGAGCGGCTCAACGACCCTCCGCCGCATGATGTGGCGAGCTTGCGCGAAAGGGTCGACATTAGCGCTGCCGACGGTGGCGGTCCGAGCATCCAACATCAGACCATGGACTTTGATGGTGATGGCGCAAGGGGCGGGGGCGACGATGCAAGGGGTCGCGGGCCTGGTGGATCTGGAGGTGGCCCGGGACGTCGGCGGCCTATGAAGGCGCGGAGGGGCGGACGGAGGAATGGTCCATGATACTTCTGGCCGTTGACGAAGACTAGGAAGCGGTGAAGTAGGAACTAATTGGGAAGGGGAAGTCTGCAGAGGATTGGCTTCTCCATTGGACTCTCGCGGCATGTTTATGTGGTCTTTTCGTGCATTCACCAGTCAGTACATCGCAGTTCGTTGTCTCGCCTGTTGTTAGTTGCAAATATCCGTTGAACCTGTCGTGAATCACGTGCTGTAGGTATATTTTCGTAGACAGACCGCTTTGGTGAGTCCATGTCGATAATATGTCGTTCCCTGAAATTGACGTGGATATCAAGAGTCGTGGTGCTCCGTTACACCGTCGCCGTTCCTAACTAAGTGGCGGTTTTCGTCATCATAGTAAGCAAGCTTAGTCAGATGTGTGTCGGTTCGTAGCAGTTAGGTCTCCTCTCTCATCCGTGGATGCGGCACCCTTGGCAGCGACAGGCAGGCTTGTCGTTTGGCATAGATATAAGAATGCGTGGATTCCACACACAAGTCTGTGCACACGGGAATCCGGGATCCACAAAAGTCCATCTGATATCCTGTCGCAGCTGCAAAGCTTCTCATATGACCAAGATATGCAGCATAGAGGAACGAATGCCTAGCGAACCATTGTAGTTCTGATCACGAAGGTACGTGTGAATGGATTTTAGTATGTCATTTCGTTAACCAACAGCGTCGAGGAAGACAACGCGATAGGTACTGTATGTCGAGGGCGAGATAATGCTCCGACTATGATATAGTAAGTGCGCTGTAGCAACAGGGGTATTCTATCGTGCAATAATTTAAGAGCAATAACGATACAAACCTACTACAGGGGGTATTCAGGCGAGAAGAGACCTAGGTTCTCGAAAAATCGCTTCCCATCATCAAATGAAACCCCGTGAACTCGTACGCCCCCAGGGGTCAAACCAAAGCGCCAGAAGGTAGCGCAGGAGGGCGTTCGGATACACACATCCTTCACACGGCCGTTGAAGAGACATGCTGCCAGCAGCGCGTGCTCGACCTCAAGCCGAGCTGCCTCCTCCTTTCCCCCAGCGACGTCGACATAAATCGCTTTGCAGTTTTCGAAGGCTTGCGCGAAATGTACAGAAGAACACTAGACGGGTAAGGTCAGCTGTTTCCAGCATATTCGGACCGAACACTTACCACCACAGGCCCGCACGCATCTTCAATGTCGCTTTCCAACACGATCCTAAGGGCGAGATAGCTGACGCTTGTTAAAGCTTCCCGTCGCCCACGTAACGCGTCCACGTTTAGGAAAGGTGAAATGGACAGTCGCAGAACGCGAGGAACATGATCCTTGATCACCGACGCCAGGCAGCCGCTGCGGTCATGTACCACGCCGACAAGTTCCAAGGCGTTCGCCACACAGGTATTTCCCATCATGTAAAGGCTGAAGAGGTCACCGCGAGCAACCTCGAGACGCCACCAAGCGTCGTGTTCTTCGCGAGCCCACTTCGTCGCCATCTTGTTAACATTCCGAATGTCGCGCAGCCGGGGAGACCAAGCCGTCGAACTGTTACCCACGTCGAGTTCGACGATATCCGGGAACGCCCAGACAAAGTCGTCGTGCGCGTCATGCACGAAAAGAGGGACATGGAGCTTGCGTACTCCGAAGAAAGTCTTAGCCGGGGTCGTTGGGGCCGTGGCCATGGATCGCGCTGCCGAAACGTGGACAAGAGTATACTTGTGACGGCGCAGGATCTTACTGAAGTCCACCGCGTCCTCGTCGCGGACGACGTCGCGTCGGGGAGTTATCGTCGCTTCCTCGAGGGGAGATCGGATGGCCGAGAACAGCTCATGTGCGCGAGGGCCTGCTCCGAAGACGCGGAGGGCCCTGAGGGTGGTAATTCGCTTCAGGGTGTGCCTTAGACTGACGTTCTTGAGGGCCTCCTCCGGCTGACGTAGTGTGAGCTCCGTGAGCTTCGGGGCCTTCGCAACCATCGCGGACAACATTCGCAGTGTATCGAGGTCGAAGGTGGACATGGCTATGTCTAGCCCGGTCACAGACTGTAAGCGTCGCGAGTCATCGATGGCGACGCGCCCCGAATGGGTAACAAACGCGAAGAACGATGCGATCGCGGCTTTCGAGGCCAGGACCAGGGCGCCCGGACAAAGAGCAAGCGCCAGCAGTGAACCGTGGTTGCGGAGCTGCTGGTTCGTGCTGCTCAGCGCGATGAGGGTGGTTATGTCCTGGATCTGCTCGAGAATGAGCATGGCCACGTCGAAGGTGACAGATGCCTTGTATAGGGAGGAAAAGGGGCGCATCTCTGTCAAGCATGGAAGGTGTGTAGGTGGTCAGGCGGTGTGTTCAGGTCGACAGATGAGCAACTACCAGGTACGTACCTTTAACTGGGCTATGAAAAGCAAGATCTACTAAGGTAGATTGGTAGTGAGACGATGTTGAACCGCGAGATAGGAAGGACTGATCTGATACAGCGGTCTCAGTACGTCTACGACCACCTGCAGATGCGCTCAACACTCACAAGAATCAGCACAGGATCCGCCGCCTTGAGGAAGGGTGTCGAGGGTGTCGATATTTGGCGGGAGCGTGGTCCAGATGGAAGACATTTTATACCAGACGCATGAGCCCCGGAGTGACGCCTGCGGAGAGACCAGATCTTTTGCGTAAGGCAGCCACCCCAAATGTCGTTCCATGAGGGAGTTCGAACTGGGATTGAACCCTCGCCTCCGTGTCGACGGGAAATGTCGGCCCAATTTGGGTGCGTGCTTTGGCCATTGTTCGAGAGATCTGAACTCCCTGTAGGTGGACCTCACCCGGACCGTCCATGGCGGTCCGAGTTTCCCCATCGGACTTGTCTCGTTACCAGCTGTAGGAACGTAATGCTGCAACGAGAGGTGACCTAACGCGGCAGGCATCTGGGCATTTATAGTAAGGAGGTAGTCTACACATTTTCAATGGCTTTTGCCCAGAACGGCCACGGTTTCACAAAGACTCTACCTTGCACATCCCCTTCTTGTCACCTTTTCTTTGTTAGAACATAGTCGATTGTCTGCCGTACGAGTTTACAATTGCCTTCCTTCACCATCGAGCGTCGCAATGGGCCCATGTGTTTCCTTTCAAGCTGCGGTGAGGGGCCTCTGGTGTCAACGATAACGGGTAGCCCCCGCCGCGATGCCCGACCCTGGTGTGTCCAAAGCTAGTCTGAGTTTTAAAAGTGAAGGGAAGAGTTGGACGACCGTCTGATGCGCTTTGCAGAGCTGTGCAGCTTGTACAAGTTCGTCGGAGACACCCATGGCCAGTGAACGAGGCTGGAATGATCGGATGACGGAGCGCTCACGGTGGTTAGTTTAGTGGCCGAGACAAAAGCGCTAACGTTACTTTCTTGGGAACGATGCGCATCGCTCCTTGAGTCCTTCTGTATGCTCCCGCGTGCAGAGTAATGCTGAGATTGACCTAGATTAATGAGCAGTTTTTACCTTGATATGAGATTTTGTTTGTCGCCGACAGTTCGATTGTCCGTACTGTTCCGGCTGCAGAGGCTGCCACGTACTGTAGCAAGTTCAGCTTGGGCCGGCGGCCGTGAGAAAGTAGTATGGGCAAGGCTTTTGGCGCCCGTGGCGTACTTGAGATTTATCAGTGTTCTACCCGACGGGCTCATTGTGCTGCGGCAGCACAGCGGTCAGACCCACCAACGCATGTCCTTCGGATATCCCCGTCGTCAACGCGATTAACTCTTCGCCGATCTCCGCCAGCAGGTTTCAACCGGTCATTCAAATCTCCGTTGCACAGACGTTGGAAGAGTGTTTGGTACCAGTGACACATGTCCTCTCCTAACTTGGACGGTCCCGCTCCATCGGTCTCTGCTGCGGACCATGCTGGCTCGCTTGTTTTTGGAGGACAGACGATCTCTGGTTCGCTTCCTTCCATCACGCGGCGATCACGCAAGCTGAGACGATTGGTCCGTTGGAAGACACTCCTAATACAGACATCCTAGCCCAGTTGCAGGCGCAATCGCGTGCCGAAGACCAAGGCGAGCAAATTGCCCACACTGGTACTACGGGTGAAATTGGCCTCATGTCTGCGCTTAAAAGCGCGGGCCTGGCCGAGGATGAGTATGTCAATCGTGACGTCCTACCTTCGGGACAAAACGTCGTGCTCATGCTCGTCGGATTGATCGCATCGGGGAAGGTAGTGTGGTGCTCCCTGTCTGATGCCGTGTACAGGGGATCTCATTGGTTGACCAACAAAATTCACTTCATCGCGGATGTGATTCCCTCGTCCCGGCCACTCTTGGTGGCTTCTTTGGGGCTACAATCAATCGTGTTTGTGTGTAATGGCGCGTATTCACTCAACCGCCGCCTGGTCCGACGCTTGCCCAATATGCGCGCTTGCCCTAACTGCCTCATCCGCTTCTGCACGGCCACAATTGCTCCTTCAGACCACATTCTCCCAAGCACTGGAGCGGCATTTCCCCAAATTTCGACGATGCAGCCAGGACGACTTGGGCGATCGTCGGAGCGTCGAGGCGCTTGTGCGCCGGTCCCTCGGGGAGGGCCTGTCCGTGGTCATCGATAGGGCGAACTTTGATGAAAGGCAAGCAAGAACCCCAGACACCATTTGTGCTGCGGTAGGGTGTTCATACACGTGCCCTTCTCCTCCCTCCTCACAGCCAGCGATCGACCTGGATCAATATTGCACGCGAGTTCCCCGGCACAGCGGCATGGATAATCGTGTTCGACACGCCGTACGAAGTGAGCTCCACCCTCCATTTTACAGCGCCCCGTAGTCAGCGGTAGTGAATGCCATTTTTAGGTGTGCGCCGCAAGGCTAGCGGACCGTAAGCTGTAATATCTTTGTCACTCCTAACCACAGACCGACGCCCGCCGCCGTCTTGCCGCAGGTAAGGATCACCCGACGATCACCACCCCCGAGCTCGGTCTCCAAGTATTGGAGCGCTTCAAGCTACTATATCGCTCGCCGTCGCCTCACGAAGGCTACTCTCGCATCTTATACCTCAAGCCTGATGACCTCCCCCCACCCAGTGAGCTGACGGCCAAAGACGTACGGGACACAATGCGCCGTCTGCGAAATGCGCCGGAAGTCGTGTGGACAGACCCTCCTACCGGTTTTGGGTACGGTGGTTGTGGTGCGCGCGGTGGTTACAGTCGCGGCTACCGGGACAGCCGAGACCACAGGGGAGGTCACCCTCCTCGTCGTGCGTACACACCCCAAGGGGCTCCCCCGTATCGAGGGGACTGGGCTCCGCGCGGTGGGTACCGTGGGGCAGGTGCGCCTCAGGAGAGGACTCGATGGAACGCACATTCGAGAGGCTTCTCCCCTGGGCGCGGCCCGTCTACGTCTGGACGGGCGTGGTCTGGGCGCACTACCACAGCCCATGGATCATCAGGCGACCCTCAGTCGGGAGGGAGCTCGAGGGACTATGACTACGATCGTACTGAGCGCGACTGGCGACGATGAGGCCCGATGTGTACCATAACTCCTAGGTCTGGAATGGTAGTTCTCACGGCGGAGGACGGCGCCTCTGTCATGGTTTGTAGTTCACACTATTGCACAAGTCAACTCAGGGTACAGCTCTGTCCAAACGTTATCGTCAGAGAGCCTGCTGGCGAGAGTCCGAACTGGGACGGACGGCCACAAAGGTACTGGCATTTCCTCCCGAAATCCGGACAATGCTTCGTCTCCATCCTTGATGTCATCAGGATATTCGTTCCGACCAGCGGTCCTCGAGGGTCTGCATATACCGTAGGAGCACAACGTAGTGCTGGTTGGCATCTCCGGCGGTGATATTGCGGCGCCAGTGTACTGATAGTCTGGATATCTCGCTGGCCGCGGAAGGTCATATGTTTTGTAGACCAGTCTTCCCACATTCAACTATAAGGTCGCTAGCACGCAGAAAAATGCTACGCAAGCGGAAGCAGGCTTTGGGCATGTCCGATTCGCTCGTACTCACTTCTCAGGCCTACCAGTGCAGACAAGCATGTTTTTCATGACATCACAACATTGCACAGCTCACGAATAGTATGGTACTCTGGTAGCAGGTACGGTCGCCTGCGTGGGGGGAGCGTGCATCAAGGCAGCAGGAGGAACTGCGGCAAGAGCTTCAGGAAGTTCGGGGTGCCTAGACCACTAACTGGATCCCAGCCAGGGCGTGCCGCAAAGCCGTTCGTGCCACATCCAGGGTTGGAACCGTTGATAATGTCATTGAATGCCCAAGAGATCGTTGGGGAGTAAAGCTGTCGAAACTGTGTCAGCGAAGGCTATCGACAGGGGACGGAATGTACCTACAGCTGGGTTAACCCAGCCGACGGGCTTCTTCCCGACCGCGAGACGAGCATCGTTGATCGCAGACAGGATGGATGCAAATGTCGGGGCAGACGCGGACGTCCCAGATATCAGGCGGAACTGGCCGTTGAGTACGACGGAGTAGTTGAGCCCGTTGGCAGCGACATCGGGGAACGCTCTTCCAGTAGAGTTGAAGATACCAGCGGCGTAGGGCGGGGATATTTCTCCAGGTATCCGGCAACCGCAGCTTTCTGGAAACTGGGCCGCGGGAAGACGTTTGAGAAACCGCCGCCGGAGGGGAACCGCTGGAACACCGCACTCTCCCTGTCCGTAACTTTGTGCCCTGGCACGACCTGGGTCGCACCGACGGAGGTGACGTATGGGCACCCTCCAGGAAAGGTGGGGCTGAAGCGAGGCGCACCAAGCTCCTGCTGACCATCCTCGGTGAGACAAGAGCCGTCGGGACCAGCCACTCCGGAGTCGCCCGAGGAGTAGACAAACGTGATGCCGGTCAAGCTGAGCTTTCCGTACTCCGCGCACTGGCGCTGCATGTAGGCCGGCGTAAGATCTGCCTCCTGGTAGCCGTAGGACGTTGAGATGACGTACGCGGTGGGCTTGCCACCACAATCTTCGGGGCCGGCGTAGCCTCCGGGGTCGGTATCCGGGTATATCCCGTCCTGGCTGGGGTCGTCACCACCTTCGAATGTGCAGTAAGAGCCGTCTATGCCATCGAGAAGGTTGTTGAACGAGGCGCCCTCCACATTGTCGCCGGTTTGGTACAGAAGCACATTCTGCTTTGTGCCTACAAGACCGAGGACATACTGTAGATCGAGGCTAGATTCGCCGAAGTCACCTTCGGGGTCGATGAATCCGCCGTCAATGCTGACTAGAGTGGGACGCTCGCCGACTTGGTTCTTGGAGTAGTTGCCGAAGAAGACGTCGAAGTCGGATGGGTTGTGGCTTTGCGGCGTGTATTCGACTTCACAACAATTGTGACATCAGATGTGCGCGTAAATCATCCCGAGTCCAAGGGCACTCACCGACTCCGATGGAGTTTTTGTCAGCCGCCACGGGCTGGTAGACGAAATCATAGAGCACGCGCAAGCATGCAAGAGTAATGGTTTCGTCACAGTGCTCGAGATCCGTGAAGATGGTCTGCGCGCGCGAACATCAAATGGGCGTCAGTCGGACGCGTCCACGAGGAGCTTGCGCGGCACTTACATGAATGACATCGCCGATCTTGGGCGCAGCGCCGAAGCCCACGCTGCCAACTTGCTTGGCGGCGGTCGCGCGATCGGTGCTCCCGTGCCTGCGGACCTTGACATCGAAGTGCAGCGTCGGAGTGATGAGGTCGACGTGCCTCGAGACAGTCTCGGGCACATGGTACGCGCCGTGGCATGCGATGTGCTCCCGCCCGTCCTCGAAGTGCGCATACACGAAGTATTCCGTGCCCAGGAGACGCTCCGCCTCAGACACGGTGACGTTTGCAGTGACCCAGCTCCCGCTCTTGCTAAGGACGATCCTGCTCGCGTCGATTGACCCATCCTCGATGAGCCATTCCCGGACTGCGTCGACGGACTCCGTGGACGGGCGGAACGCGTCCGCGACCTGGGCGGGGGTCCAATGCTTGCTGTAGTTCGGAGACTCCGGATGTGCGACGTCGAGGAGGTACGTCTCAAGGTTTTCTAGGTTGGATTGCACGAGCCCGACGCTGAGGGGGAGTATCACGTCGGGCTCTGCGCGTCGGACTAGACTCCATCCGTGGGGAAGAGACCGACGGATTTCGTGCGCGACGCGCTTGACAGGTTCCGAGACGCGAGTGGCGACGGCGAAGGAAGCGAGACCCAAGGCCAAGAAACGTGTGAGCAGCATCTCCGTCGTGGCCGAGAGCGGGTATGGGTGCTCGAGGAAGACGTCCCGTTGTCGAAGTCGTGTTATTATATGCTGCTCATATTAGACGGGCCGACACCATTGCAGCAATCAACGTCCGGAGCGGTGATGGCGGCGGAAGAAGCTGATGTATCGGGTCTCCGTGTAACGCGAGGTCATTGTATTGAGTCGAGTCTTCCATTGCTTCGTTGACGGTTCGCAACGCCAACATCCATGAGGACACGGAGACTCGAAAACCTCGGGATCCAATGAGAGTATGGGTGACGAATAGATGAGTGTTGGCGTTAAGTGTCGAGACAAGTGGGTGCAGCCCCCGATTTTGGGACCGCCATTCGGGGGGCGCGGGCTGCTGTGCCTTAAGCGGCAACGGCGCTTACACTCCATCCAGACTAGACCATACCAGGTTATCGGAGACGCGCGATCCGCCGTCTACTGAACTTCACCCGCGGACGGGCTACTTGACGAACGAAATCTCCGATGAGCATGATGCCATGTTGCGAGACTGGGGTGTATGACCACGAGCCCTCAATAGATTGATCAGAGTTGATCTCGAAAGGGCAATGGAAATGGAATGGTCATGATATGGACAATCCCGTTCCTTACCAAGTTCCTAGCTGGTTCGACGCAACATGCGTAAGATGGTGGGGGACATGCCAGCTGTTCAACACCTCCAGTAAATTTCCATAGTGGATACTATCGTAGAAAGAGATCTCCCATGTGTGGAGGACGTCACAGCCACACGTAAGCGCACCGTTACGAACAACTTTCTCCGAAACGCCTACACTTAGGATACATCTCCGTCTCCGGTCTCCGAGTCGTTCTCGCCGTCATCATCTTCGTAGACCGATAGCTGAGCTCCCAAAGATCCAATGAAGCGGCTCGATGTCTGTGGCTGAAACACGACTTCCCCGAGCGAGACATCTGTGGAAGAGCCCATGGTCTTGCGCTGGAACTTCTGGAGGCTGATGAGGAACCTCGACGTGAGGATGGACGTCAAGCTAGACACGATGTCTTATTGGATGTCTGGCAGAGAGGCGCATCGTAGACGTACGGAATCTCGAGAATACTGATGGCACTTGATGTATTAGCCGGAAGAGCGGCGACCTGAAAACTGTTAGGAGATACCATATTTCCTAGGCATAGCTCACCCCGGTTACAGTGAACACCATTTGAAGAACGTTCACAATGAACAGTACACTGCCAAATCGAGATTTGTACACTCGCTGACCTAGACACAGCTGTAGCTATCCACTCACAGGAAGTACATGATCCCTTGTGATGCCAGTGAATGTAAGCAATCCTTTCACTCGAGACGTTTGGCCTAGATAGCAAGTAGCAGTACACACCATTCAAAAGAAGAATGCTTGCAAATGTTCCCCTGTCGTGACTATGGCCAGATAGTCTCACAGTTTCATGTGTTTGGTACCATGTTACCCATAAAACCAACAGGTCAGACGCGACTGCACAGCACCGTGTCACCACCGTCACTGCCATGCCGTAGCTGAGATTATGCATACACCCAACACCATGCTGTATAACGCATGCGTACGTCTACCATTCTCCGGGTCAGAGTGTACTGAAAGTAGTGCGGAAGGTTCACTGACTTGGTATCCGTGCTCGGTGACATCCCAAAAGTCAATGCAAAGCCCTCTGTTGGGTCATCTATGATAGAAAGCCCGTAAAGGTTTGCCTGAGAGAGAGATCTTGATCAAAATGCTGATCGAAAGTCACAGAATCATGGCACTCACCAGTAATATAACAACAACGGACACGGAAGAGAGTGTAAAAACGCTTGCTGAAACAAGCCGTTGGTAAGGATCTGGACACAAAGCATACGCTCGCAGTGCCGCAAAAGCTGTATGAAGTCGCTGTTGAGAGCTGAATATCACAAGAAAAACCTGGAGCAGTCGCATACCGGCCCATGGAAGATATTGCAAGGCGGTAAACACAAACGAAACCACAAACAAAGGATATTCACTGGACGTGTGTCAGAACGCGGAGTAGTGAGCCTGTAAGATCCACGGGATACCTCTGTTATATATTCAGGCATCTACAAGATACGAGACGTCAATCGACATACCTCCACTGACGAAAGTACTGGGAGCACGTTTATGATTTGCGCCACGAGAGTGAGGTATCGATTTGTAAGAAATAGAAAAAAGGCTCCGGACAGCTGGTGTTCCATCCAAAAGAGCGTCACCTCGTTGTCGAACGTGATGGTGAAGTCGTAGACCAGGAGTGCTGAGAAGCAAGACGTAATCCGCTTGTCAGTATCTTCGAGGCGCCAATCGCATTACCAGCAACAGACCGGTGGCAGTGTTTGTACAGCAAGCGTCGAAGCTAGAGGCCAATCTGAAAGTTACACTGCACATACAGGAGTTACAATACCGAGCTGGACTCACACGTTCGCAAAGGCTTGATTCTCTGAGTCGTCCGACATAGTGCAGGCTTAATGCAGTAGCACACCAGGTGCAGAGTTATCGTACAGGTCTTGGCACGGAGGTGTGTTCTGTCGGTAAGCTATAATGTGAGCTATTTATCTACCTGCTCAACCGTGCGCAGATAAGCTGTGTATAAGTGACAGTGACGACCATCAATATATTCTCCTGCGGATGGATGACGTCTCATTCACTGGAGTATCAGCAATCTGTCAGAATGGTTAGATACAGACGTGAAGAAGTACACGATGTCCAGTGCTGCAAAGTATCACCACGCATCCTTGTGCAATGCGGAGCAAAGCGCTACAACGGCCTGAAGTAGTGAAGGGACCCGCAAGTCTCCTAGTAGGGAGCGTGGCGACCAACATCACGGCAGTGGCACTAACGTCTCAACAGTCACTCAAGCTTTCCCAGTACTGGGCTCCAGAACGTTACATATCATCACGATAAGACCACGATTGAGAAGTTGGCGTACCTTACTGAACACTATCGTAGTCTTGCGCCGGCGATAGATGCGACGGAATCTTTTTTACAGCTGAACGCGCCCGTCACATCATGACAATAATCAGTAGAGCAAAAAGACATGCAAAGACCATATATCTCAACCAGGTATCAAAAAAGTGAGACTGGCCTTCGTCCATGGTGGATAGAGATCGTGCCCACCTGTGTACAGTTGGCTGTGGTCGGCGGCACCACTGGCACTAGTATCATATTTGCGCTTTCGGAAGGATTTGAAAGATTGTCTCGTCGGAATCCGCAAGCAGGGCAAGAAACCATGGTCATAAACATGTGTTGGAGAGCAGAGTATACCTCGTTTGACAGCGCCAGATCAGGGAGGAGGTAGGAGGACGATAGAAACGGTGGGAAGGGCCCGGTGACAGATCGCGACGCGCGATGGTCGATTGTGACTACACGCGAGTGTGACGGGGGAGCTTCCATATCCGGGCGAGCAGCAGAACGTGCGTCATAGGCGGGCCAGGCATAGTCGGTCGTATATAAACTCAGATCGCTCTCTCGGCACCTCATCCTATCTCATCACCACATCCATCCTCGCCATGTCCTACCAGGTCAAGGAGATCCCCACGAAACCCTTTGAAGGTCAGAAGCCTGGCACCTCTGGTCTTCGCAAAAGGTGAGCGCTCGATTCTGCACATATCAGTTGCAATCGGTATCGGACGGGTCGATGGGGAGACATTGAGAGGCGTCGCTGCACTGTGATATTGCTGTTGGAGGATAGAGCGCTTGATTGATACACAGGCACTGATTTCGTCTTCAGGGTGAAGGTCTTCAAGCAGGAGGTGCGTGCCGTGATCCATCAATGTGCAGTCCCAGGCTGATCGCCATCATAGCACTACACCGAGAACTTCATTCAAGCTATCTTTGACTCCGTCGAGCCCAAAGGCAAGACCATCGTCATCGGTGGCGATGGTCGCTATTTCTCCCCCGAGACCGTCCAGACCATCCTCAAGATCGGCTCCGCCAACGGCGTTGCCAAGTTCATCATCGGTCAGAACGCCATCCTCTCGACCCCTGCCGCCTCCAACGTCATCCGCAAGTACAAGGCCGACGGGGGTATCCTCCTCACCGCCTCGCACAACCCCGGAGGACCCGATGCCGACTTCGGTATCAAGTACAACATGTCCAATGGCGGACCTGCACCCGAGAGCGTCACAAACACGATCTACGAGAAGACGAAGACGATCTCAACATACAAGGTCATCGAGCTCGAGCCCATCGACCTGTCGAAGAAGGGCTTCTTCACATACGGACCGACGAACGTAGAGATCATCGACTCGGTCTCCGACTACCTTCAACTGCTCGAGTCCATCTTTGACTTCCCGCTGATCAAGAACTTCCTCCAATCGCACGCTAACGACTTCAAGGTCCTCTTCGATGGCATGCACGGAGTGACCGGCCCGTACGGGCGCGCGATCCTCGTCGACACTCTTGGCCTTCCGGAGTCCTCGGTACAGAATGCGACGCCTCTCCCCGACTTCGGCGGAGGACATCCCGATCCCAACCTCACCTACGCCCACGAACTCGTTGAACGTGTAGAGAAGGATAACATCCAGTTCGGTGCGGCTTCCGACGGTGACGGTGACAGGAACATGATTTACGGAAAGGGTGCGTTTGTCACCCCAAGCGACAGTGTCGCGATTATCGCGGACTGGGCGGCGGAGGCGATCCCCTACTTCAAGAAGGGCGGTGTGAAGGGTCTTGCGCGTAGTATGCCTACGAGCGCACAGATCGACTATGTCGCGAAGAAGAAGGGCCTGGAGTGCCATGTGGTCCCGACTGGTGAGAACGACGATCTTCTTGAGTGCTAGGCGGACCTGACGCTATCTGCTCAGGCTGGAAGTTCTTTGGCAACCTCATGGATGCGGGTCGACTTTCCATCTGTGGTGAGGAGTCGTTCGGTACTGGATCGGATCACATTCGTGAGAAAGACGGTGTGTGGGCTATCGTTGGTGAGTTGCTTTCGTGCTCCCGAGCAATCGCACATACTGACGTCCATCGCAGCGTGGCTGAACATCATAGCGTACGCGAATCAGCAAACGCCCAACGAGCTCGTCGGTATCAAAGAGCTCCTCCAGAAGCACTACGCCGTCTACGGTCGCTCCTTCTTCTCGCGCTACGACTACGAGGAGGTCTCCTCCGAAGGCGCGCAGAAGCTCGTCAACGCTCTCAACCAGCACATCTCCGCTGGCTCGCTCGCGGACACAACGCACAAGTCGAAGAGCACTGGCCAGGAGTTCTCGATCGCGCGTGTGTCCAACTTCGACTACACGGATCCCATTGACCACTCGGTGAGCAAGAACCAGGGCCAGATCATCAGCTTCTCGGACGGCTCGCGCGTCGTGTTCCGTCTCTCCGGTACCGGGAGCCACGGCGCGACGGTGCGGATGTATGTCGAGCGCTACGTGAGCGCGGATAAGGGCCCCGCGGAGCTCAACAAGGACACGCAGGAGGGACTGAAGGGCCTGATCGAGGTCGCGCTCGAGATCAGCAAGTTGAAAGAGTTCTTGGACCGCGAGAAGCCCACTGTCATCACGTAGACAGCTGTGCGAGGCGCGTGGGTCAGGAGGAGGCGGATATCTTAGGTTGGATGGAAGTATCAAGTTCGCAATGTATTCGTACTTACTGATCATTGAAGGGCCAAAGTGTCCACTCTAAGACGACGCAATGTCAGATTTGGGCCGTGAAGGAGTCGTAAACGGCGAAAGCAAGGTAATATGGTACAATGGATCATGATGTTACGCTGCTATCTATCTCGTGTCCATGTTAGCCGAGGAGTAATATCCTTCCTATCATTCTGTCGAATGCACCAAACGACGGTCTTACGGTACTGGGAGATCTCCATGCACTGCGTGCCTTTCGGTGTCAGTAATTCTCCTTGAGGATGCACCAGTGCAACCACTTACCAGTCTCAGCGACCTTCACGACCTCGTCCACCCTCTCCTGCTTTACCAACCCCGCCTCGACCATCCTTTCAAACAGCCCGCGCACCCAATTCTGACAATTCCACTCCCCATTCGGGTACATCACCGGCACCTCCCACGCCATCTGCTCGACCCGCCTCCTCTCATCCCTCGCCAGCGTCCCCAGCTCGAGCCGCGCCGCGCTCCCCTCCGCCGCGGCGTCCGCCGTCGTCGTGCGCGCGCCCCAGAACACGTACCGCGGCTGCGGCGCGGGGTCCGTCTTGACGTCGTACATGTCCACCTGGACGTGCCGCCACGCGCCCTCCGCGGGCTGCCAGGAGAGCGACCAGTGCAGGTCGCGCCACGTCTGGGCGGGCCCTACCCCGGCTAGCGAGGAGGAGGTAGGCGAAGAGGGCGCTTGGACGAGGAGGTAGACGGGCAGGGGGACGTCGCGGTCGGGGAAGGTCCAGTCCATGTTGATGGGCGAGGGGAGGGAGAGGCCGGCGCGGCCTTGTTCGGGCATCGGAGTCGCGGTGGACATGGGGTCGGTTACTGGGCGGGTGTGCGAGGAAGGGTGATGTGTATAAGGTCTGAGGAGCACCAGGCGGCTTCTAGGAGCTGAGAGAGCAATTGCGATGTGGGCTACGATTGCGTGCGTGCGCTGCGAGTCCCTGTGCTGCCTTTATACTTTGTTGAAGGGTGCGACCTCGTCGCGAGAGCACAAGTACAAAGCAAGAGCGGCGATCTGTGGCCTGATGAATAGTACACACGCGCCGCATTGTCCCGAATCGCAGCCTCCTTCGCCGCCTCGGGAGCTCGGAGTGGCAACTCACCGTGCGCAGTAGGGTGATTAGAGGGATGTACTCCAGAGAGATTTGCAAGTTGCCACCCTCTTTGTTGTACTGAACACCGAGTTCATTGGATCCACCGTAGAAAACGCTGTGACTGAGAGACTACTTTAACCGCCTAATGGGAGTCCGACCCCATTGTTTGTTTGTGTTTCTAGCAGACTCTACGCTCTTTCCGCCAGTGGGCTTGGCCACTAACACAAAGCTCCAACTCACCACCGACCAAATCCCTGCTCTATGTGGCGATATGTTCATTTAGGAATTGTAAGTGCTGAGTCTGTGACTGCTTCCACCTCGCAAGACCTTCCCCTCCGCCCGGAGTCATCCTCCTGTTGGGGTGACAAGATCAAATCAGTCCCTCTAGGTCAATCCGATGAGCAGCAGGTCTTGCTATTAGAAAGGTATGCATGCAGTCGGCAACAAGGATACCGGAACGTATCGGTATGATAGACAATTGAGCATTCTACGCGTGTGTCTTGTGTCTTGAGCTGACGGGTCACCTCAAGCTATTCAGGATGCTGTCTAGTCCGGGCCCTTCGGACGTCTAGGTTGCTGTCGCCGATGCTAAGTATCTGTCGACTTGTCACGGCACCAAAGCGTCGTCTAACCCATGAGATTCACGCGTCTCCCCGCTGGATATCCATCTCTCGCGCCGTTCATGATTATGCCGCAACGTTCAGTGGCAAGGTCAGGCTGTTAGGCTGGATGCCGCGAAACACAACATAGCTTCGTCCCTGTCCATGCTGAAGCATTGCATCATACTTGCGCTGCACATTCACGGGCTTCAATTGCTGTCATTACGGGTGAGCTACATCGTGTTCATTATGTCGATATGATGCTCACCATTTTGGCACGGGCATGGTATTCCTCATCAGATCGAATGACAGGAGATGTCTCTAGCTTCACTGACAGGATCGTTGCACCATGGAGAGCTCTAAGCATCAGGAAGTACCTTGCCGGGACTGGTATGTACACTGCTTCTGGCTGTGCTTTACATATTACACCTCTCGGTCCGTGTCACAGGTGTCGGATCTCGCATCCGAGCCCCGGGAGGCATTGACATTGACAGGTTCATTGCATCCATCGGAGCTCGGGTCTATGAACACGAAGACGACGCTGAAGATGGTGCTGAAGATGCAATATACGTGTTCCCCGTGATATGGCCTTCAAGTGCTGTGAAGTCGGATTTCGCGCCTCGCCAGTTACGTGGATCGCCGATCTGTATGCAGAATGCGCTCGAACTCATGATGCGGACCCCATCTATTGCCAGCTGCGGTAGCTCAGGGTGTCTGGTGATAATGACGAGAATCACAGGGAGGCGGCTTCTGCAAGTACTTGCGAGTCCGAACGAGCCCTACTCTACGCTCTATACAGTTCAATGTTCCTATTAAAGCTGCACAATGCGTCATAATACCTAAGCCCATAATGTGATAGGCTTTAGACAGTCAGGTTCTCAGTTAGAGAGCAAAATCGAGGCCGCAGTCAGCGTGCACTTGGCACCGAGGTAAAGCGCGACGCATGCCAACGCACCAACCGCAATGCTTACTCCAGCCATCTCATACAGCACCTCCTTCCACTGCCGCGTCAGCACCTGCGCGCGCACCGGGTCGCGCTGGACGGCTTCCGCCTCCACGACCCCAGGCGCCAGTTCCCCGCCCGCAGAGATATCCACTGCACGCTCCGCTGCCCCCGACACATCTGTGTCGTGGACGGCCGTGCGCGGGCGGAAGGTGGACCGCCGCAGGCCCATATTCCAGCGCACGCTGCGCATCATGCCCTCGGCGAGGACGGCGCGACGCTTCTCCAGCCACGCCTTGCGTGGGTACCACGCTGCGAAGTAGTGCGGGATACGTTGGACAAGGAGGAACGCGTGCATCTTCAGACGCATGGAGAGGCGCGTCGGCGGCAGGCCAAGACGTCGTGCGAGACGTGTCCCGACGAGATGCGTCGTGAGCGCGATGTTATATTCAAGGGAAGTGTGCAGGGGCGGACGGTTCGAGACGGCGACGAGGATGGGGATCGTCGGGCCTTTGATGGCCGAGTGGGAGGGGGCGTTGGCAGGTAACTCGGGGATGTCTTCGAAAAAGAGGTTGAGCGCGGCTGTGGCGGTGAACTTGTCCGCGGCGCTAGTGGCGGTGAAGTAGCGTAGGAGGATAGAGGGCGATACTCCCATGTAGTACCCGACGTGCCGCCAGAGTGCGAGGTAGGCGCTAGCTTTGTCGGGCGACGGAGGGAGGTGTAGTCGTTGAAGACACCAGATTGGGATTGTCGAGAAAGCAGCAAGTCTGCGATGACGTTTTGATAGAGTAAGTGACTGAGTCTGTGCTCAGGACAGAGATAATGGCGTACGTGGCAGCAACTTCTTCTTGGCTTAAGGGGACGCTATCCAGTACGTCAGTTCGGCCCTCCCTCTCCCATCGCGCTTTGACACGCCATCGGGCGATGCCGTGGAGCAGTCGGACGCGTACAGAGGACCTCCAGCCTTCTCCTTCCGGCAGTAGACTGGCCAGATGGTTGTCGGAAGAGTCATCCGAGGAAGGCGTCGGATTTGTGCATCCCATGACATCAAGAATGAACTGCATCGTCTCGACGAGGCGCATGAACGTCCGATCAGTTGATTCCTTCGTGATCTGCGAAACTGCCTCCATAAGCGAAAGGGGTAGCTCGCTGCCCGTTTTCTTGGTGTGGGGAACGAGGTACGAGACCGCTCCGAGTGTTCGTACGATGCGAGGGCTTTGCAACGATACCACGATCAGGATAGAGAGGAGCGCAGAGGGATACCGGACAAACCTCGCCAATCCGCCAGCTAGGCTGTAGTGCAACAGCGCCTGTATGATCTGCACCGAGTCATCTATGAAGAACTGCCTGGCGACGGCGACCTCGTCGTCCGTTGCCGACAGACCCTCAGGAGGATTGTGCAAGACTTCGTCTAAGAATGCGTGCGTCGCCGGGGCTTCCTCGCGGGAGGTCGCTTCTGCGTAATCCTGCACCGCGTCGAGCAGGTCCTGACCGACACTTGCGGACGGCGATGCAAACACCTCCCGGAGAGCGTCGTCGCAGACGGGATCACCAGTTTCTCTCCACCTACGATTGAAGTGGTCAATGTTGGTCAAAGGGAATGTATGTTTGAGATGGTGGACATCACCTTTGGCACAGCTCGGCAGGGACGCAGTCCTCGTCCCATTCAAATACGTGTCCGAAAGTCTCCACTAGGCTTCCATAGGCGGTACTCTTCATGTCTTCATACGAGGTGATGTGCTTGACCTCCGACCAGCGAAACGGCCGTGGATGGCCTATTATAAAGACCATGGCTCCGATTTGTGTCGCGGGGAAGAATCTACGTGCTCCAATGCGGCGGCGGCGCGTATGTTTGTTCAAGTCCGAAACCGAGCGTGAAGACAGTGAGAATGAATGCAAGTACTGTATCGCCGATGGCCCGTTAGTCCGTGCTTGAAGGACACCGTTCATAGTATGTACATGCCCCCTGTGTTGAGTATCCCACCGGGGGTTCCGAAGTACGTCGACCAGTTGTATGATATGGACAAAGAGTGCTGCGACGATTCCGGAGCTGTACAACGTGGACGATGTGGTCAACACGACCAATGGTAGGACCAAGAGGAGCGGATTGTCGCAACTTGTTCCGGCCGGCGGGTTTGCCTTCGCTCCGTCCCTGACCGTGGTAGCTATGGACGTCTTGCTCGACGATGCGCAGATATTCTGTGCGAAGCCGATCTTTCCCTGCGCGGAAGTGCCATTTCAAGTTGGAGTTGGGAGCCGCGACCGGGTCGGCATTTCGTTCGTCGTCGTCATTGAATGGAACGGGTAGCGGGAGTGAGGGCTCACAGAATGTTGCCACAAAAGCAGATTACTCGGTCGAGTGGTGTAGTGGTAATCACTCTTGTCTTACACACAAGCGGTCGTCGGTTCGATCCCGACCTCGATCAGTTTTGTAGCCCCAGAAGTCATGCACGTAATTGCGTGAGTTCGATCGCTTCCGAAAATGTCGGGGATTTCGCCTGCAGCCTTCGTCGTCTCCGACCATCATCATCGCAGTCGCAAACCTCCACTTGAATCCTCGTCATGTCCGTGCAACTTGCACGGTTGACGCGTCTTTCTTTTGTCCGCGTGTCCCCGGGTACTTCCTCCAGATCGTTCCATGCCCTCTCGAAGCGGACAGCAGGACAGAACACGAGGGCAATCCGGCAAAACAGCGGAAGACGTGAGCCCACTCACATCACCATTCAATTGCCATCGAACTGACTCTGTCAATTGTAGGATGGGCGACATCGACTACTCCGACCTCTTCTGCTGTGAACCCCGCTGAGGTTGAAGCGATGCAATGCCTCGAAGACGGCACTCAAAAGCTGGAGGAGGGCGACGTGCAGGCTGCTAAGGTGTGTATCATCTGAAACCTCCGCGCGTATGCATGATTTACATGGTCCGCCTCGTGTATGTTGTCACCCGAAGTCGCTATACCAGCGCAGCGTGGATATCAAGCGGACCGCCAGCGGATTATTCAACCTGGGCGTGACTTATTACCACTTGAGTGAGTCACTGTGTCGCTTGCCTACGAGCTGGGTACTGGGCGAGTATAAGGGATAGTACTCAAATAACATTATGGTTAGAGGAGTATGACCAGGCTATCTCATGCTGGAAGGACTCAATAGTGCTACAGCCCTCAAGTCCCGATGCGCACACGAGTACGTTGTCGATCCCACCGGCGTAACCGCGTATATCCGCTCATACAATTTCCTAGACCTTGCCAGCGCGTACATCGTTTCGCCAGTCAGCCGGCCAGACCTCGCGCTGCATCACCTGCGGTACGTCTCCTTCGCGATCAGCTCTTCCTAGTTCATATCTTATCTTCATGTGTTCTCAGTGTTGCATCGTCGCTCGCACCAGAAGACGGAGAAATCGCTTTCAACCTCGCGGCTGTTCTCGAGGCATGCGGCCTCCTTGAGGAGTCCCTTCAGCAGTACAAGAAGAGCAAGGAGTTTGGTGTGGAGCGCGCTGCTATGCACATGCGCAACGTACGCCTTTTTTGCTCGTTCAGCGTGCATACACTGACTTGCGTGCAGGTGAGCGCGAAGATCCTAGGCAAGAAGATGAAGGCTGCCGAAGCGGAGGTAGCGCAGGACAAGAGCGAGTCAACCGCTTAAGCTCAACCCCTTGTCCGGAACGCATACCTTCACTGTACGCGACATGCTCCCGAAGCAGGTATACATGTTCTTGTCGCGTCTATTATCCATTGTACGAATGGAATCTAATCCAGCCCCTTTCCAACATAAATAACAATAGTTATGTGACTACGTACTACAGCGTGAGTGAATGTCAATGATAGTATGGTTACAGGAAGCGTACAAGCGTGAGTGCGGTGCATGGCAGCGAGAATGAACGAAAGCGAAGGTACGAGAAGTATTCCCAAGAAAATCCTATTCAACAAACGGAGCGAATGAGTGTCGCCTTCCTCCCCCAAAACGAGTCCCCACTACTAAGGAAGATACTGTCTCGGCACAGGTGGAACGTCGGGCACGATACCTCTAGCAACCCTCATCTCCCCCATGCTCGCACTCGTCTTATGCCCCAATCTCCCCCAACTGTCCCCCGACCCCTCCTTCCTCGCGCCCCTCTGCCCCAGCGGCGGCGTCAACTCCCCCGCGCTCGTCTTGCGTCGGATGTTCATCTGCTCCTTCTCCCACTCCTCCAGCGGCCGCGTCCACGTCCACTCGCTCAGCCCGCTGTCCCGCGCGCGATACATCTGCGACGCGCTCGACGACGGCACGGGCGAGCCGTAGCGCGAGAACGCCGCGGGCGCGTCGTCCCACGCCGTGCTCGCGAGCGAATTCTTGCGCGAGCCAGCGCCCCACACGCTCGACGCCGCGTCGAACGACGAGAAGTCGGCCCGCCCGGGGATGATCAGTGGGGGGACGGGCTTGCGCATTGGGGGCGTGCGCGTGGAGCCTGTCGAGTTGCTGCGGCGGAGGGGGGAGGGGGCGTAGTAGGAGGTGCTGCTAGGCGTGGTAGGGCTCAGGCTGTCCATTCGCGTCCGGGCCTCGCTGAGTGGAGAGTGTGCGAGGGGAGAGCTCGGGAGGGACGGTTTTGGAGGAAGCGGGCGTGGGGACGTCGTCAACGTCGGCGAGGGCTCCTGCTTGGGCTGGATGTATATGGGCGGGATCGGGGGCACGGGCGGGATGGGTGGGAGGAAGCCCTTGTCGGGATTCGCGACTGTCAGCACCCTGCTCAGGCGTGCATCGTTCTCCGGCTCGCCCTCTCCCCTGGGGCGCGTGCTTGGCTTGAGCAGGGTCATGTCTGAGAGCGCGGTCGACGCGGACGTGTATGCGGAGCTTGGGCGGAGATCAGCTCCGAGCACAGGTTTGGGTGCCGCCAATGTGGGGAGCGTCGTGGCGATGCGATTCTCGAGCTCGGGCTCTTTGGGAGGAATCGGCGGGGGTGGCGAGGACTCACGCGAGGGCACGGTGAGCGCGGCGAGAGTAGTGGACGGCTTGCGGCGGAGCGGTTCCAGCCGCGGAAGCGGTGGTGGGGGCTGGGGTGGGCTGACGACGAGGGCAGGGTCGAACATGCTCGGTGGGCGGCGATTAGGCTGCAGAGGGGGAAGAGCTTCCCTGGTGCTGACGAGGTAACTGCTCATATCTCTCATGCGTGATTCGCGCGTCATGAAGGAGTCTGCGGTGCTCCCCGCAGTGCTTGTCATGGCGCCTGTCTCCTGCGTGGAGAGTACGTCCCATACCCGATCCTTAGCTGGAGTGTCGAGGCCGCATCGACGAATTCGCATCACAATGCGCTCGAAGAAGGCTTTGAGTTCTCGATATTGCACCATGGCTAGTAGCAGGAGGAAGAAGGCCGTTACACCGACTACGATGCCGATGATCGCTCCTTCGCTGGACTGCGATATGGATGCTCGACGTACCAGATTCGAGGACGTCGGTATGGATCTGGCTACCTGAGCCATGCGTGTCGGAGGACTCGCAAAGAGACTCTCGGAGCGCGAGGTGGGGGGAGAAATGAGATGCAGTTGGGGATCATCTTGGGGTGGCGTAGGCGTCGGCGCTCTTGATGAACAACCTTGTAGTAGGGGACTGGATATGGCTTGATTGGACACCCAAGATACCGCCGCAGGAGTGCAGTCTATTCGTCTCCCGTCATCGGGCGTTGCCTTGAGCGCATGTACTATGCATTGGCAGGTATGACGGTTAGCACTACATGCGCCAAGTGACACTAGCCCGTACCTCGGGCTATCAGAGACCGGTGTACTTACTGGCTCGCGGATTCATGGCTCAAGCATGCATCGAGAGGCGAAACGCAGACCGGAGACCTCACTACTGCGGGTGGCGCTTGCGTTAAGCCGAGAATCGACTCGACTGGAAGTTTGCTACACACCTGATAGGAAGCCTGCGATGGTGGCCCTGATGATTAGCCTGTTCTGAGCTCTACGGCTTGTCCTCAGATAGCCACGGAGATGGTGGACACAAGAAGAGCTGCTTGGTCGGCACACTATACCCGTCCTCCAGGGTACCGCCAAAGCCCCGCCTTCTGGAGAACCCACACGTCCATCCAACTCCTTCCGCAGGTTGCCTGGTACCGGTGACTATCGCGGGGTGTGATATTTGGGAACCTTGAGACTGGCATATCATGATGTTGATGAGGGCCGGATCTAATCGTGCTTCTCGGGAATTCCTGAAGTCAAGGAACTAGTACTATGAGATCCTTCCTACATCTGATTGGCGCAGCAATCACTCACAGCGTTAGAGAGTTTGCTCCGTACAGCTATATAGTATTGAGAAGGTGTCGAGGAAAGGCTCTAGTGGAGTGGAACTGCTGTGTTTGGGACAGCTCATGATGAACGATGAGCTCTTGTGGGCAGTGTAGCGTGAGTAAAACGTTCATGGCGTCTGCGATCCGAAGCTTCAGAGTACAGCTTCGGCGTCTGATACCAGTACTGTCAACGTGACGCCATAATCTTAGAATAGCGTTCTCCATGCCTTGGGATGTTATAGGGATGCATTATACGACTTCTATATTACGTCTAAACCCTGCCATGGCCCCCTGAGGCTTCAGCGGACCCCAGTACTTACACCCATACACATAGCAAACATGGTGGTGAGCACGTACGTCTCAAGCCTTTATCCATCGCGCTTCCCGTTGTGCAACAGTCAACGTCAGTTGCCGCAGAGACGGAATTCCACCCAGAATCCGCGCGGCTATTCCCGCAGTCTGGCCGTATATGCGGTCCAACGCTGAGTCGATAGCGCGCAGCCCATCCTGTGGAAGCCGATACGGGCCCACGGTGTCCCACCGGAGCATTCGGAGCGACAGGTCTTCGACGCTTAGCCCCACGAGAAGATCTGTCAGGTTCGTCTGCGAAAGACAGTAAGTGCCGGTATTTGGGACGGATAGAAGGGCAACCCACTATGATTTTTTCCACGTTTATTTCGGCGACGTCGCAACGGAGCACGACCGTAAACTGGGTGAGAGAGGTCGCGGAGTCCTCGGCACAGATAAGGCGAGGAAGGCAATTGAGAATTTGATCGCGGGCAAACAAGGAGATTGTGAGATGCGATGGGCGCGTGTCCGAAAGGACATGCCGGAACATCCAAAGAGTGCCTTCGGAGAATGCTTGTATCCCGACATGAGGAATGGGACGAGAAAAGCCTAACATGTACAAGTCGATAATGTGGCCTACGGTGACGCTCTGCAGAGACATCCAACCCTCGTGTTCACGTTGCCACTGTCCGTTCAGGACACGGCAGCGGTCAATGACGTCTGCGTGGTCGCAGCATCGGCCCTCCTCCCAGTGGGAGACCATTGGTTTTACTTGCGCTGCGGATAGAGAGAAGTCGAGCACATGAGGGAATGCACGGACCACAGGCGCGATGTCGATCCCGCCCCTGGTCAGCCCGAAGTAACAATCGGCCAAGTGAAGCTTGTGAACGCGAGGGTAGCAAACTGTATCGTCCTCGAACTGAACCATAGCAAAATGCAGCTCTTCGAGCGTCGATCCAAATGATACAAGGAGAGAGATAGGGTTCGGGGCAGGAAGTCGATGCATTGGACCGAATCGTGCTGTGAGCTTGCGGATAGGTGAACGGAGGTCTTGAAAGTTATGCCAAAGCTCCTGGGAGACAAGGGGTAGATGGACCTCCTCCAAACTCTCGAGAGCTGTTGGAACCAGTCTGAAGCATGTCGATAAGCCGGCAGCACCCCAATCTAAACGTAGACAGCGGAGAAGAGAGGCGTCGTTTAGGATGTCGGACAGTAGGTTCTCTATGGCGACGTGCCCAGCAGAGCGCGACAGGCATGAGAGCGAGGAAGAGATCGTGATGTCACGGAGATAATGGGATCGAGGGTGAGAGGTTCCAATGCGAAGGCATCCGTGCAGTGATAAGATGTTGTCTGTACGGACTTCGACCGGGTCGTGAAACAACTGTCGGAGACAAAGCTCATAGAGCTCGTGCGAAGTCTTCATGAGCGAGGAGACGTCTGGGCGTGATAAGAGGGTGACCATGCGCAGGAGGACGTCCCAATTAAGGACAGCCAGCTTGAGCTTCAGGTCTCCAGTCATCTCCAGGACTGCAATTAGACCGCGTTAGACACATACACGTAGCCAGATACGAAGACAACGTACTGAGCGCGTGTAACTGGACGATGCCGATGCCACGTATAATGGGCAAAGCCATCAGTGTTACGATGTATATATACCACCGAAGGCCCGGCGACTCGTTGCGACGGCATGTCGTAAGGCCTACAGGCGTTCAGTGCCTCGCTACGAGTGCGCGTGGATTCAAGGAGCGCGATTGTTCAGCGGTACATTGTGCCAGGGGTTGAATTCGGCCGCACCCATAAATGCAGGCCTTTTCGCGGATCGGGAGTGCACCTGATCCTCCATCATGTATCAGTCAAACGGAGAGGTATGGCCACGAGAACTATTGAATGCTGACACTTTACAAGGGGAAAATAGAGCGTACGTAAGGTTGAGGGAACTAAACATGATGGTAGTCTCGCGAACTGGAAGCCTCGTTGATACCTGAACGTTCGGTGCGCATGACGCGTTTTTGAGGCCCGCGTTGAGCATTATCAAAAGTGTAACGGAAAAGTATTTCCAAAAAGATTGTCAGCGACACTCAAGACAGCTGAATGGGAGGAGTCGGTAGCATGCCTGTGTCCACGAGAAACTTGTTGCGAGAAGGCGGGAAAGGACTCGGATGACGCCGATGTAAGCGCCGAAGATCGCGTCCCGATGCTTTCGCGTTTATTTCACCTCGTCGAGCGGGGTCTTCTTGGATGCCTGCTTCACCAACATCTCCCTGGATATCATCATTGCTATGCAAAGTCGAGGACATGCTATTGCCGGGGAATCACTCTGTGACAGAAGCAGCTCCTGGCAAACTACGTATCCGTCAAGAATGTTGGGCAAATCTGCCCTGCGTATCATTGTTTCTGCGAGGCCACTACCTTCCAAGTGAGTGTCCGTGTACATAACAATACCCCGCACATAGCCCGCACATAAGCTCGCATCGCTCATGTGGGGAGAGCGGCATACAAGCGGGGAGTAGAACGATGTCGGCGGTCATGTGAGGCTGGCCATGGACATCGTATCGGAGAGCAGGGATGAGCGGGAGCCCCGAGCATCTGTGAGGGCAGAGGGTGGTCTGCGATTAGGCTCCAGTCGAGGGAGGGACAACCCGGCTGCGTCGCCTTTTTCGGCGGGTATATAGCCCGAGGAGTGCGTTCCTGGAGGGAGCGAATCCCAGACTTCGCGACGGTTTCTCTCAACCCACGCGTTGTAGCGAGTCACCGCTCCCCGCCGCTGCCTTGGAGCACGCCTCCACAGATAGCACATGCCAATGGTCGCTGCGATAAGCACTGCTACCCCGGCAGCCGCTCCTCCAGCGATAGCCGCAGTGCTCACTCGTCGTGAGACTGGCGAGGTTGCAGTAATCATAGACGAGGACGGCAGAGTTGCGATGGGGGTCGAAGTCGTTTCCGGAGTAGTTGTGGTGCCGGTGGATGAGGAAGAGAGGGAGGAAGAAGTACTGAGGCAAACTGTGTCCCCGCCAACGATCGCAAATACCGGCGATTCTGCCTGGACACTGTTACCCGATGCTACAATTGTGTACATTCCTGTGCTGATATTCACTGAGTGCCAAGTGAACGTTTGCGATGTGGAGTCGATGTCGGAAGAAATGGTGATGGCCCCGTCCATGGGGTGAGAGACGTTGGCAGTGACGAGGAACGCTAACGACTCGCGAGAGCCGGAATAGCTCCAGGTGAAGGTAGGAGACGAGCAGAGCTCGACATTGGCCGGAAAATTCGTCCATGCGAAGTCAGGTGTAGCTGACGGCGAGCTTGCTGGTCTGGTGCTTGTTGGGGTGTCGGTTGCGGTGGAGAAGCCGGAGCTCGGATCGAATGTGTGGACAGTATTGCTGGTTATTTTCGATGAGCTTGAGGTGGTTGATGAGGAGACAGGTGTCTGCGTTGAGGCACTGGGCTGACTGATAACAGTGGGGAACGGGGGTGGGAACAGAGGGAAGGACAATGTGATAGGCGGCAATGGGAAGGAGAAGGATGGTAGGGAGGTCCTTCCTGGGTTAGAGACCTGTCTGCGCCGGACGGGCGACTTAGCCATCACAGGACACTACAAGAGGGGACAAGAGGAGTCAGCAGAGCATGCGGTGATCCCAGTCGCAGTCATGGACACAGACACTCACCGGACCGCAACCTCCTATGCTGAGCAAGGCTAGAAGTAAACAACGCCGTGGCTGCACGTTCGCACCGGGGCGACAACGGAACAAGTAGTGGAATGCCTTCGGCGTGGTATAGAGACGTTCCACAGGCGGGAAAATATTCCGCGGTGTCTCTGAAGATGCTAGCGGCGAAACCGAGGTGACGCGGGATCCCAGGAGAATCGAGGACTCCACCCTTCTCTGGGATAGGCAATGTTGAAACATATGAGGCGCGACGAACTGAGCTCGATCCATTGAATCAAAAATATCATCCGCCATTGACTACTGAGGTCGCGCTTCCTTTTCCCAATCAAATGCAATCAGAATGCTCTTTGGGCTTCGAGGATCAGAGATCCTTTCTCGGGCCTTCCTATTGCGACACATGCATCCTACTCACTTGCGGCTATGGCCCGATGTAGTGCATAAGGTGGTCGAGCACGGCATGATAGTACGAGGGAATCCGACAGGATTGAGTAGTACCCTAACTGGATTAGGAGACGTTGCAGTGCACATACACCTGACAGATAGCGAAAACCCGATCAGCTCGAGGCTCTTCCCTACTTTCTCTGGTAGCCCTCAATCCCGTCTCCAAGGCCTTATAGCAACGGTCTGCTTGATGCCTTGCATTGCACAGTAAGAATAGGTGCCCGCCGTATCATCATCTTCCCTTGTATCATGATCACTGATTCGGTTTATTCGCTCCAGTTCAACTTGATCTCGCGAGACTCTCCCTTGACTAGCTCCCTTTGAACATCATCTTCACACGTATATGAATGCAACTTTCGCTTCTGAGCCGCTTTGCTCATCCTGCGTAGTGTGATGACTTCGAAAGTAACTGATCTGTCATACTAGGACATTGAGCTGATCTGCTGACTTCGACGCATGATTTTATCGAAAGGAGTGGTTCCTCGTATATGCGTCTCTCAATGCTCGCTCTGTGCATCACCGTCGTGTACGGGGTACATCTGCGACGTCGCGGACGACGGTACTGCCGAGCCATCCTGCCACTGCGACGAGCTGGCGTCGCTCATGTCGGCAGAGTGACGCTTCTTCGCCAGAAGCGCATACAGCAGCTTCACTCCCTTCGAGGTCGATGAGGAGGAAGGCGTCGATTGTCGCATGAGGACGGCTGTCGACGTCGCATCGGAGAGCATGGATGCGCGGGAGCCGATGAAGCTGATATCCATGAGCGAAGGCGCCGTAAGGTTCTCGTCAGGAACGTGGGCCTGCGATATGTGTGGGGGTATCGTGGGGTTGGGAATGGAAAGCAGGGAGGAGGGCAGTCTGCGATTTGGCTCGAGTCGAGGCAAGGATCGCGCCGCTGTGCTGATGCTCCTAAACGCGGGTATGCTCGTCTCGGGGCGTATATCGCTCGGATCGCAGCTTTGGCGATGTCCTCGCTTGGTCGACTCGTTGTAGCTAGTAGACAGAGCCGAGCCCGCTCCTGGCGGGCGCCCTCGAGCACGCCTCCATAGGCAATATATGGCAAGAATAGTTGCGAGGAGTACACCAGCTCCGGCAGCACCTCCCCCAGCGACAGCTGCGGTGCTCACTCGACTTCGCACCACTGTCGAGGATGTCGCGGATGTAGTGGCGACAGGTGAGGGAAGCGAAGATGTGTTCGCTTCTGGACTTATACCCTGAGTGGGTCCAGCGCCGGATGTGGAAGTGGTGGACGAAGCAGTGAGGCAAGATGTGTCCTCACCGGCGATGATAAATAACGGCGATATCGCCCGTACCCCATATCCCAACGCCTCAAGAGTGTACTGTCCCGTGGTGATATTCACCGGCGACCAGTTCCACGCTTGTAAAGTAGCATCGACGGCGAGAGCAACGAGAGTCGAAACTTGTTTCGCTGTGTTCGCAGAGTCCGTGTGTGGCGGAAGGTTCGGAGAGACGAGGAACTCTAGCGACTCCTGCGGACCTGAGTAGCTCCAGGTGATCGTGGTGGTCGAGCACAGTGCAAGGGTCTGCGGGAAAGACGAAGACCATGCGAAATTGGTCGCAGCGGTGGGCGAGCTTGTCGTCCCACTGCTCGTCGGGGTTGAGGAGACGGATCCTGGGACTGAAACGCCGGGCATACTGCTGCTGGGCGCCGTCGAAAAGCGCGAGCTGCTTGGCGGAGGTGGAGGCGTCTGCGACGAGGTGGAGACTTGGCTCGTATCTGTCGGAAGGAGTGATACCGAGAGAGCGAAGGTCGGAGGGTCACTAGAAGTAGACGGCGGGGGCAGCGGGATCCTAGGCCCAGGGCTGTCGAATGGCCTGCGCTGTAGGGACGACTCTGTCATAGCGCGGGGCGCGGAAAGCTGCGAAAGAGAGGGTGAGGAAGGAAGTGAACAAAGCAGCTATCGTCCCTTGCCAGTGCCCAAACAGCTCAAAAGGGAGTCGCCAGATCACCAAGTTAGCGTTCGGAAGATACTAGTGTTGCAATTCTCTCTACATACGCTGTGAGAACTGTATGACCAAGAACAACGACGAGCCTTCCAAGCTGGAACACATGCTGTCTCCGATTGACTTGCGATGACCGCTCGTAGTGCGATATCAGTCGTGAGGCACAGTAGATATGATCTGGGAGTTGGAAGAGTGACGCGCATCCCTCTTGGATAGAAGGCGTTGCATCATTGACACCTGGTGGTGACGGTGATGGGCGCACGGCACGTCTGCAACAACATCTGACCTGTTCTTGCGGCAGTTCGCAAAATGAGCTGCATGGCGTACGTTGGTTAACATCGAAGACCAGTCGTAGGAGGAACGGTAACTCATGCCAGCATACATAGTGGTGTTCTCCTAAGGGTCATGTGCAGACTCCGATCAGGTGCTGGACGAATGACGAGTGCTCTGTACGTTACCTGAGAGATTGTGGTACATAGGATTGAGTTGAAGACAAGCGACGCAACTGACTCTCTACAAAGACCGTTGCAATCGGCAGGAGAACGAGGCTCACCCTCGAAAACGGTGTGAAAGAATCATCGCAAAGGGATCAGCAGACAACTGTTACTATCGCTCACATTCGCACAATCACGTGTCGTGATTAGAGCGCCCGCCGTGTACCGCCTGGAGTTTTGATAAGTATTAGTAGTACAAGTGGTGACGTTCCTCCCTACAGAAATGCTCTCGTATCCGTATCAACACGGAACTGTCCACTTGTTTCCAATGCAGCCGTTGGTCCACACTCGAGCTGAACCAGCTTGTCTGCCAATGTCTCGGGACGCTAGGCAGCTCCGCCCGGGACATCTCCACCACTAGCATGCATTGATAGCGAAGTGAGTCTCCCGTCTCCGTGTCCGCGTTTCTCATACCTCGATCACGGCACCGTCGTGCGTGAAGTACATCTGCGACGTCGCGGACGACGGCGCCGGGCCAGAGCCATACGTCCGCCTTGAGAGGCCAGCGTCGCTCTTGCGGGAAGACGGACGCCTCCCCATAATGTGGGTGAACAGGGAGCTTATCGCTTGCCAGGAAGATGAGGAGGAATACACTGATGGACGTGTAAGCCCAGCCGTGGAGGCCGCGTCGGAGAACATGGATGTGCGGGAGTCGACTCGGAAGATGCTGCCGTCCATGGAGGAGGGCATCGCACCATCATCCTCAGGGAATTGGGCATGTGGCATGTATGGAGGTGGGGCGGAGTAGTCGGGATAGCCCAGTAGCGCAGAGGGTGGCCTGGGAATGGGCTCGGCAGGAGGCAGGGACCGCTCGGCTGTGCCGATCAGGATGTGTCTAGCTGTGCCCTTCTCGTGAACGGTAACGTAACTCGGCAGTGTATCTTGAAAGAACGCATCATCCATAGGGGCATCCTCCCGCTGCCCAGACTCCCCAAAGTCTCCCGGGGGAGCTCCTGGCCGTCGCGCCCGTCGACGACTGTGCCTCCATCGGCAACCCATCCAGATGCCGCCTGCGATAAGTAGTAATGCACCCGCTACCGCTCCTCCAGCGATTGATGCGATGTTGACGCCGTGCGAGAGGGCCGTCGAGGGTGGAGTGGGGCTAGGTGAGGAAGGCATTGAAGGTGCGATTGTGGCTGTCCTCGTGGCCGTAGAGGATCCGTTGCCGGAGGAAGCAGTGGAGGAAACAGGAGCGAGACAAGATGTGTCCTCACCGGTGATCGTGAACACGGGCGATCTTTCCTGGATCCCGGGTCCCAATACCTCGAGCGTGTACTGTCCGGGGATCACGTTCACTGACTGCCATGTCAGCGCTTGCGACGTAGCGTCGATTCCGGTCGCAATGGTGATCGCAGGGTCGATGGGTTGGGAAACGTTGGAAGTGACGAGGAACTGCAGCGATTCCTGTGGGCCGGAATAGTTCCAGGCCATCGTGGCGATGGAGCAGAGCTCAAGGTTCGCTGGGAACCTCGACCACTGGAATTTCGGCGGAACTAGCTGCACTGGGACTACAGTGGTCGTTGAGGTGGGGAGGATGTATGGCAACATCGTGGGGGCTTCTCCTTTGCTCATCGTCGTTAGAGAGTGTGAGGCTGAATCAGTTCGGCTGCTCAACGAGATCGAGGAGCTTAGAGAGCTTCCGTTCTTGATCGTAGCCGAGGAGCTTGTACTGCTCCGTATCGCCGATGGGCTCGAAGTAGTTGCAGAAAAGCGAGAGATTATCGAGGGGTCGCCCTGGTGAGCCATGACTGGCTTCGAAGACGTCGTCGAGAAGATGGGAGGGACATGGCCAGACGGGAACGGTAATGGTAATGGTAAGAGATTAGTCGGGTCCGAGGGAGTAGTCTGTTTGCTCTGAGCGGACGGCTCTGCCATCGCGAACGATTACGAAAGGAAATGAGCGGAAGGAGGTGACCAGACCACGCCGACTCCAGCGCGAACCATGCGACATATGAGAGAATCGTGAGATCACGAAGCACATGATATCGACCTTGAGATAGATAGGAGCAGGTACAGGGAAAGCATTGGCCGCACGCTTCCTTTGTTGGGAACGGCGACGAGAAGCAGGCGGTCATCCTCGCCCACGGCGACACCCATGCGAACCTGATATTATAGTATCATGTCACGAGAAATTTAGACAATCGAGGCAAAGAAGATTGCACACAGCAGGATCGGACTAGTGTGTTACGAATTTATACTCACGAATGTGTCCCATTCTGGTGATAGTTGGTAGGGAATCAGTTCGACCTGCCGGAGATCCCTCTGCCCCCTTGAGATGGGAGCTTAAGAGATCGTGCGAGCTGCACACCATATGAAGTGTGAAGAGGGGCATGTCAGGGCAGGGAGATCTGGGAGACAAGGCAACGGTACACAGCTCCTCACTGATCAATCAAAGATGTGCACCGTGTAGGAGGACTCCAGCTACTCATTGCTCCCGGAGGCACTCCACTCGCTTATAAGCTCACTGAAGGATCTTATATGCGTGTTGAAGCCCGGCATCGTCCCTCCTTCGTGAAAGTCGATGTTCCTGAAGGACATCGTAGGTGGAGATACCGTGGAGGCCGTGGACCCCGAAAGACTAGTTGAATTGAATTTTGCAGTGAAAACTCTATTGAGTTCGAGCAGGGTTGGAGTGACGGTGCAGACGTCTATTTGGGAGATTGTTGTAGATCGCGACTAAACAGGATATTTTCACGAAGCTCAACTACTTGCCTGGGTATTATTCATGTGATTCGGTGAGCCGAGCGCGATGATGAGTCGCGTAAATTCATATGCCGCCCTCAATCGCACGACCACTATCCACTAGCTATCTTTACCCGCGAATGGGGGTTGAGGCTTCCAATACATGAGATATTTCAAGTCTGATCACGACCGGTTCAAAGACCAGCTCGACGAACTCGACAGGGAAGACGTGCTCGGAGATCGCCTTGGTCATGTTGTACTCGAAATCGACCGTTCAAGCGTGTTAACCATCGTTCAGAGAATGAGAGTCGGGTATGTACTGGCACATATCAGTCATATAGCCCTAGCTGATAAAAGGAGCCCTTTTGGCCAGGTAATGGCAGTACACCTCTGCGACACATAAGACTACGTCCCCGATCCTTCAATACATTTCCCCATCCTCACACTCCGTCTGTACACCATGCCACTTCGCAGGCTCCCCCACTTCAACGAGGAGTGTCCAGATTCAGAGATACGGCGCCCTTGGTGAGTGCCCACGCGTCCACGCGTTCCCCACGTTCTGTGTGACAGTGTGGTCGATACCCCTACATACCTCTTTTCCTCTGCACCCCCATCGCACCCAAATATAGTGGCCGGTGGCCGTCGCCCATGATGCCCACGGTATCCCCACAGATCTCAACCTTGACGTCCACAGGGATGTCCAGGACAAGTTGTCATACCTCCATAACCTGCTCTTCAGCAGCTTTCCTTGGTACGTAGCGCACAACACGTCTATTTGCTCGCTACTCGACGCACAACTATCCTCTCATAGGTTTCGAGATCCTCGCCATCTGCACGTGCCCTTCGCCTCTCCCACCATCCATCTCGCAATCATCTTGATGTCTCTGGTGCGTCATTGACACGAAAACCGCTGCGCCTTAGACTCTCTTCACGTTGTCCAGCTCCGCGACACGATCAATGGTTCGTCCAAGACACTCGACCACATACGCGCGCATGATGGCTACTGATCAGTGCTATACAGGCGCAGAAGCTCATTGGACTGCGCTACGTCGGATGATTTTATGGCTATGCGGAATGTTTTGCGTTCCGTTTTCTGCCCGGCGGAGGGGAAGGGTTGCGTGAATCGAAATGGAACGGTCCATTTCATTGCGCTGAATCTATGTACCAAACGAATATGTTATGACATCATGAGAACCGCCGTCCACGGGCGATTTCATGATCAAAGAATCAAGAGATCTATGGGAAGCCTCCTGCAAATGCGCCACCGCCGTCGATGAGTCGACCACACGCCCGCAGCCTACGATGCAACTTCCGCCTCGTTCTCTCCTTCGTCGACCTCGTGGAACGAGATCTGAGCTCCCAAAGACCCAATGAAGCGACTGGTGTTCCCCGATGACTGCGGTTGGAATGCAATTTCCCCGAGTGAGACTGACCGAGAAGAGCCCGCTAGCTTGCGTTGGGCCTTCTGCAGGTCGATAAGGAACCTCGATGTCAGGATTGAGGTCAAGCTAACCACGAATATATCATCTGGGTAAGAATTCGACGGTGGGTTCAGCGTAGACCTACGGTTCCTCAAGATACACAATGACACTTGTTGGGAAATGTGCGTTATCGTCGACCTGTAAATTGTCAGCGAGACACCACGACACTCCAGCACCGCTCACCCCAATCAGAGTAAATGTCATTTGGAGAGTGCTCAAGACGAGCAGCGGTCTGTTGATACAGGTTGTGAGCATCAGTTGACCTTGACATGACTGCGTGCACTCACAGAAAATACATAGTCCCTACGATAAAATCAGAGGGTGCTTCAGTACTAAACTCATCGGGCTCGAAGGTCGACCTGAGTACATACCATCGAGGAGAAGAATGCTTGCGAAGCTTCGCTTGCCGAGGCGACGGAGAGATAGCTTGGCTGTCTCATATGTTCGGAGCCAGGTGACGCATAGAACCACCAAATTAGAAGCAATCACAGAAGACCGCGTTACCACATCCACTTTCATGTCTCATCTAAGAACATATCCAGAATATATGACACGATTGGAAATGCACTAACATCTGCCATCCGTGTCGTCCGTCAGGGGCCGGTCACAGAGCAGCGTGGAGTCCACTTACCTCAGTACGGTGCCCACCGATATTGGATTGATGGGTATGATGCCCAGAACCGGATCATTCACAAACGACAATCCATGTAGGTTGGTCTGTGAGAAGATTATATGCTTTGATGCTTCTCAAACATGACAAATCCAGAGTACGCACCCACATAATTGTAAATATGGGCACGGAAGACAGAGCGAAAACACTTGCCGAAATGAGTCGTCGATAAGGGTCAGGACATAAAGCATATGTCCTGAGTGCTGAAAATGCTGTTTGAAGGAGCAGCTGTCAGGGCTGTCAATTTTATACAGAACTTCAAGCGGTCCCTTACCAGCCCATGGGAGATACTGTAAGGCTTCTAACACACATGCAGCAACGTCTACTGCGAATGCACTGTGTATGCATCAGGACGGATCATCCAAAGTCCATAAATTCGCGGTATACCTCTGCCATAGTGTCAAGCATTGATTAATGCAGACCAGCAACAGAATGACATACCTCCACAGAAGAAGGGATCGTGTTGTTATATATGATTTGCGACGCGAGAGTGATATATCGATTGAGGAGAAACAGAATGGTTGCTCCGGACACGTGGCCTACCGTCCAGAAGAGCATCAACTCGCTGTCGAGCGTGAGGATGAAATCGTAAATAAATAGCGCTGCAAACGCGAAGCCGTAGGCTCATGAGTATGTTAACGGCGTCGATTGTTCTCGCAAGGAACAGACCAAGGGCGGCATCTGTCCAGCAATTATAGAAGCTAGAAGCACGCTCAAAGGTTAGATCACGTCTAGGGTATATTGCGCTGAGCTCTACCTACAAGCTTGCAGATATGGCTTGGACAGCAGAGTTGTTGGCCATATTGAGGCTTTGTAGAGGGAGCACTAAAGGTCTAGAGTTATCGACGAGGCGTCAGAATGAAGGTACGTTGCCTGGAGAGCCACATTGTGAGTCCTTTTTATCTACAAGCCTATACGCACACCTGTTCGTAACTGCCGCCCACCTGGGGCACATCTCATCTGATGATGAGATACATCGTCGGACAAACTATAAATGACTTGTGACGCCGAGCAGCAATTACCACGAAGGATACATGCTATCTGGATTTAGTATATCTGTCGCTCTATCTAACGAAAAGGTAGATGTATGCACGGGCGGATAAATGACGGGACCCACAGATTCAGTAAGCAGGGCAACTCACCTGCCGGCAGCTTCGCCCACATCTCAACAGCCACTGAAGCTTTACATGGCTCGGATTCTCAGCTTCCGTCATACCAAGATGCCGTCGAAAGAAGGCATAGGCACCTCGTACATCCCCTGCACAGTGCGAATGGGGAAAACTCGCAGTTGGAATAGTCGGGTCAGTGACTAGAGCGAAAATGAAACCGCCCCGGGCCGTTCTCAAGCAACCCTGTCAAGTCAGTATGGCCAGCCGTATCACAGTCGCGATTGCGCACCCAACAGCGCGAGCATCCATCTGCTTGGTGACCATGGAGATCTATATCTAATCATTTTGAAACGTCAGAGTACTAGATGTGTAGTGTGGCAATGCTGCCTGGGACAGAAGGGCACTCTTGATGGAGAAGAAAGAATTCCATAACACTTCAAGTTGAGGCCCTGCCGGGGTTTGGGATGTGGTTCGGATGACGCTTGAGGACGATGAGGCGGAGCCACGCTGCTGCGACGCCTGATAAGCTGTTCAGCCTGCAGCTGGGAGCAAGCCAGTGCGGCCGCTGCCATCTGTCATTGGAAGGCTCGTAGGGATCGGATCTGAAAGCGCGGAGATGATATCATCCCGGGCGCCCTGCTGAACTGATTCATCGAGCTTCACGTGACACCCTGCACTACGCGCGTCTGAGCGACTGTGAGTCCGGACTCCACATGTGGCCCGCTTTACTTTCTAATCCTCTCAGCCAGCCCTCGACTCGTTCCCCGTACGCTGATGTCGTCTAGGGAGGTTGTACTCCATCTACCCCTAGGAGCGCATGAATTGAAGATCTCCAGCCCCTTCACCGCTCTCAATCGCCTGACCTCAGCTCCGCAAACGGAGTCATGCAGTACCCATGCCTCCCCAGACCTCACTCCCCAGTAAGCTGGCAGACGCATTGGATGATTTTGGTGTAGGTCCACCCCTGCGTCATGCTATCTCGCCTGGAACACCTCGAGGTCGACCAACCATGGCTTGAGCCCCAGTTCAACATGGACGACCACGAATCCGCCCGCGGCGGGGTAGGGCTCCAATCATTCAGACATCAAGCACGTTATTGGTGGCTTTCCGGTGTATACTCGCGCAGAATTCTCACACGGTGCGCTATTGATGAAGGAGCCCCGTAGGTTGGCTAGCGACCATTGGCATTTCCCTCTGCGACACACTCCGCGTCAATCACGCACCAACGTCCCCGGACCCTGCATCCGACTGACACGTCCTGTTTCATAGACACTGTAGCACAAAGAGTCGATGCTCCACCCGCGCGTCATTGACGAGACAACCCTACGTCCTTGTCTCTCTTTCTTCACGTTGGCCAGTCCCCAGACACGATTGACGGTTCGTCCAAGCCCGCCTCAGAGCACACGACCACACACGGGCTCATGACGGCCGCCGCGAGGCCAATATCCAGAACGCAGGCGGACGTGCAGGAGCGGTAAAACGATATCAGGAAGGAGTGGGACACGCAGGAGGGGAAGTAGTGAAGACGGCGGAGAGCGTACAGGAGGAGGTGGGGAGGAACGGGGACGGATTGTGAGAGTGGTGAGTGGATTGTCGTTGTTGCCGGTATTTCACCACTGCGTCCCTAGTCGACGATTCGAAGCAATGCATGACTTGGATCGCATTGCACGTCTTCGTCGTGCGCCAGTCCGGCGGCATCTCCGACGCACCACACGGACACGGTTCGGAGGAGCTGAAAAATATGAGTCTCATGCGATCTCATGTGCCCTTCTGTCTCTATGCGAGGGACCCGCGTGTCTCTGGGACGTCATTGCAGTATTAGAATATTGGTTTCAAATCAGGTACTTGAGGCTCGGGGTAGGTTGACTCGTCTTTGCGTCTTAGCAACCTGATTGCGGGAATCTGCTCACGGTGTGAGGCGGCCGATCCTGTCGATGATTCTGCCGTTCTCCGACCAAGCTGCTGCAGACTCTCGGTCCTGAAGACTGTCGAGGAGGTGCGGCCTAAGGAAGACCTGTCCACGGCAAGCGTTGCTCCGCCACAGAAGCATCGAACGGAACGTTCGCAGCCTCACGTCCACCATCCGTGACCCATTGCCTTGCTTTGACTGTGCTGCGCTCGTGAATTCCCAACTCGACCCACTCTGTGGAGTGTTCCATCTGCGGAGCACGGCGACTGTCGCGGAATAGGTAACAGGCACTCGTGAATCCTGAAACGGTGGCCTTTCGTCGCACCGGATGACAGCTACACTTGTTGTTGGTATGAGATGCGCAGATAGTCATATACGAACTGAGGAGTGGTTATATGCGGAGGTTGGCGGGATTTCGATCGAGCCGGACGAACGTTGAAATGTCCTTCTTACGGTGATCCTGTGACTCTAATGTTAATTGCAACACCGTATGTACCATGTGAATATGCCTGCTAGGAGGAGAAAAAACGTATATAGACGATCTCATGATCCAAGGAATGTATAGACAGCATCCCGCGAAGACACCACCACCGCGGACGAGTCGACCACACACCCGAAGCCTACGATGCCACTTCGACCTCGTTCTCTCCTTCACCCACATCTTCGTAAAAGGACAGCTGCACTCCCAAGGAACCAATGAAGCGACTGGTGTTGCCAGAGGTCTGCGCTTGGAATGCAAGTTCCCCAAGTGAGACTGACTGAGAAGAGCCCGCCATCTTGCGCTGGGCCTTCTGCAGGTTAATGAGGAACCTCGATGTAAGGATAGAGGTCAAGCTGACATAAAATGGCGTGTCGGTGAGAATCTGGAGGCGAGATGCATCGTGGACGTACGGTTCCTCCAGAAGTGTAATCACACTTGTTGGCAGTGGTGATACTTCACTAGCGACCTGATAACCGTCAGATATATACTACGACAACCGGGAACCGCTCACCCTACTTAAGTTGAACGTCATTTGAAGACTGTTCAAGACGAGCAGCGCTCTGTTCATTCAGCATGTGAGCATCAGTTGACCTAGACATGATTGCGTGCACTCACATAAAATAAATCGTCCCTGTAATAACATCAGAGCGTGCTTCCAGTACTACACTCATATGTCGCGAGGGAGGACCTGTGGTACATACCATCAAGGAGTAGAATGCTTGCGAAGCTTCGCTCGCCGAGGCGACGGAGGGATAGCTTGGCGGTTTCATATGTTCGGAACCAGGTAACGCATAGAACGACCAAATCAGAAGCAATCAAACAAGATCGCGTCACCACCTCCACTGTCACGTCTCATCTCAGAGCATGCCCAAAACACAATGCCATGAAACATGCACCAACATCTGCCATTCACGGCGTCAGACAGCACGTCACAGAGAAGTGTAGAAATTTCGCTTACTTCAAATATGTGCTCTCCGATATTGATTGAACGGATAGGTTTACCTTTGGGGAAATATAAAGATGGATGCTAGTCCACCAGGAGAAATCTGGTTTACGCACCCACATATCTGTAACAATGGGCACGGAAGACAGAGTGAAAACACTCAAGGAAATGAGCCATCGGTAAGGGTCGGGACATAAAGCATATGTCCTGAGTGCTGAGAATGCTGTTATAAGAAGTGGCTGTCAGGGCTGTCGATTCCATAGAGAACATCGGGCAGTTCCATACCACCCCATGGGAGATACTGTAAGCCCTTCAACACAACTCCAGCAACATACATGGAGAATTCACTGTGAACGCATCAGAATGGTCAAATCCAAAGTCCATAAACTCGTTGTATACCTCTGCCTCAGTGTCAAGCATTGATTGACGCATGCCAGAAACAGAATGACATACCTCCACAGAAGAAGGGAGCGGAATGATATTTATGATTTGCCACGTGAGAGTGATGTATCGATTGAGGAGAAACAGAATGGTTGCTCCGGACAGGTGGCCTACCGTCCAGAAGAGCATCAACTCGCTGTCGAGCGTGAGGATGAAATCGTAAATAAATAGCGCTGCAAATGCGACACCGTAGGCTCATGAGTATGTAAATGGTGCTGATTGTCCTCGCAAGGAACAAACCAAGTACGGCTAATGTCCAGCGATCTGCGAAGCTGGGCGCAATCTCAGAGGTAAGATGACGTCTAGGGGCTATTGCGCTGAGCTCTACATACAGGTTTTCAGATATGGCTTGTACAGCAGAGTTGTCGGCCATGTTGAGACTTTTAAGAGACAGCACCCAAGGTCTAGAGGTATGAGGGAGGTGTCAAAATTAAGGTACGTTGTCTGGAGAGCCACATCGTGAGTCCTATTTATCGACAGGATCAACCCTGCAAGGAGACGTTGTTCATAGCCGGCAGCCACAAACATGATTTATTACATGATCAGACTCGCCATTGAATGGACTGTTAGCAACCTGCCATGACTGTTAGATACCAGCGCAAAGGATAAATTGTGTACTTTATTCGGTATATGTGTCACCCTTTCTGTCGGGAAGGTATGTGCATGCAGGCCCGATTAATTGAAGGTATCCACAAATCCAGTAAGTGGAGCGACCGACATGACGGCAGCTTACCCACATCTCAACAGCGGCCCGAATGATCAACTTCCGTCATCTCATATCAAAGATGCTGTCGAGGGAGGGCATACATGCCTCGCATATTACCTGGACAATACGGGCATAGATCAAAAAGGCCTGCTGGAGTCAGGATGGCTCGCCGTATCGTGCTGACAGTCGCGATCAGTGCGCAGAGCATCGAACAGCGAGAGCGACGGCAGCGGAACAGCGGCTGGCCGTGCGACGTAAGGCGTGGAGCGGGTACTAGTTGAGGGTAGAACTTCCCACACGCTGAATTCGGTCGTGGTTTAGGCACTCTCTTCGGAGGTGTCAGTCTCTAAACCGAGATAGGACGCTGCTACATCAAGTAGAAAGGCGAAAGCGCTTCGCGCTTTCCTTCTGCGTTTGTAGGCAGACAAGAGATCAATCACAATAAAAAAGCAGAGAATCGAACAGCATGAGCGTCCATCTGGTCGGAGACAGTCAAGACATCTGGATCTCGTCAGCTGAGATACCAGAGTACCAGGAATGTGTATGCGGTGTGGTAGTGCTGGCTGGGACTGAAGGGCCTAAGATCTAGAGTGGAGGACAGTGAAGAATTACCGTCGGACACTTCAAGTTGAAGTCCTGCGGGGGTGACTCCAATGACGCTTTAGGAGGATGGGGTGGAGCTTTACTGACATGATGATGTAGAAACTCTTCAAAACTGAACGCAAGCCAGTGCTGCTGCTGAAGGAATCCGAAGAATTGGCCACTGGCAGTAGATACGGAGTCCTGGCATCGCAACATGCGGAACGGATTTGTCACTCCTCACGTGCGCGCGTGACACGTCTGAGTGACGTGGACTGCGCTCCACAGTATCAGTGTCGCTGCTCGCCTCCCAATCAATGCTCCCTTGGCTTGTTCACGCTATTCAGGAATCTCTCCAACGTGCCTTCTACTGCTTGGTCCTGATTGTCGCTTGTGCCACCCCAAAGGCCCCTTTCACACGCTAGACTATAGGCAACGGTTGTTTAGGGATGGAAACCCCTTGCGGCATGCATGTTACATGGAAGATCTCCAGGTGAAGCGGCTCGACGCGGATGGATCTGGGCTATGTATTTGTGCAGATCCCTCATACAGCTCTCAATGAGCAAGGACCTCGGCAGGTCAGCTCGCGACTTTTAATTTCCATCTGCACACCATGTAACCGATGTAGTAGTACGTCTGCCCCTGATGCTCTCTCTGGGCGCATCCTGCACTTTGGGCAGGCCCATTATCAATTGAACTTCGAGTGATGCAGCAACATGGCGACCTTGGTGAGTGCAACCCTTCATCGTTTTTGCGTACTGCATTCCGCGACCTTCGTCCTTTGTGCATGCATACCCCTTTATCTGGATTCTGCTTGAGCATAATGTTCGCGCGACGTCGGTTGCGGTTGCCCACGCTATCTCTGCAGACCTCATTATCGTCTCGATACCACATCCAGGGACCTGCCTCACCTCGAGAACGTGCTTACCAGCTTGCGACTCTAATGATGACGATGCGCTCGTCGATTGAGGACACCGGCCTCGGGTAGTACTTCAAGCCTCCCTCCATAGAGGTACGTCTCCTCACTTACAAACGATTCAACTCGTCTGCACCTGTCGCGTCCGATTCGGGCCGGCCCCTTCTCTGATAAGAACGTGAGCCGACGCTCTCTACCTCACGCATGGACAAAGCGACCGACTGCGTCGTAGGCCTTCTCCCCCTCTTCCGGCATCCCCTGCGAGTTCGCCCAACCCGCCTCCGAGCGTTCGAGCACACACGCTCGTGATGTCTCCCACGGAGGGAATACAGAGCTCGCGCTCGAACGTCTAGCACGTACAAGTTTGGTGGAGCAATACCTGGGATGCTGGGACGGGGGCAAGAGGAAGGAGGAGAGGAAGGAGGAGCAGATGGCTAGGGAAGAAGCGAGGACGTGGAGGATGCGTGGGATGCGGGAGAGGACTCGACAAGCAATGGTGGGAGGGCGCTGAGGCCTATGGACCGCAGTGATCAGCACGTTTTCATCCATTTTTCAGTTTTGTGGGCTAATCGGCGATCATAGTGCGCCAGACACCGCGATGGCAGTGTTGCGTACGATGGTCCTCCAACCCCGCGCGCTGCTGCTTACGATCATGGAGGCGACAGCCCTGGCATTTCCGGAGGCCATCCGCAGTCCACAGAGTGCTCGTTTCCTCTACCGTCTCATTGTTCCAGGTTCGTGCTCGCTCCGCCTCCATCGCCACCACTGGCTCTGCCGTACCAGCCAAGGCTGCCCCCGCTCCGACCGCGCGCGTCCCTTATTGCCGAGGGTGTAGTGGTCAATACAATGTACTGGCCATGTCAGTCCTCACCCAGCCTGCGCCCGCGCACCCGATCTACGACTCGTACGCCCTGCATGCCCAGGCAGCGCATCACAGAATGCGGGGTCGCCTGTTCCTCCGCAGCCTGCCGTGCAACCTCACCCGACCACCATTCGGCATCTTTTGGCGCATAGAACATGTATCATGGTGGTGCCGTTCGTGTCCAGCCGCCGTCTGCTCGTGGTGTGGAAATGAACCCATCAGCGTCATGTGTTAAGGCGTCGGGCGCTCTTTGTTTTGGGGGATGTCGGAAAGGACCTTTTGCAGAGAGTGAGAAAGACCATATATCGGTGCCTACAGAGCAGTTGGGTAGTGCATTGAGCCCAGAGGTAGGTGATTCCCTCGATGGGGCATTCGGACGTTTGGCGGAGGCAGGGCCGTGCGACGCACAGTTTCCGTCGCAGAGGGTGCGAGCGGGGCGAAGCTAGTGGATTCAAGCATGTACAGTCAATGAGACAGGGTAATATATCTCTTTGCAGCGCCAGCCGTATTCAAGACAAAAATATGCGGAGTACTCATGACGCGGACGCAAATGATGTCGGCACTTGCCGTGCGCCTAAATCCTTCACAACTTGCTCTCCGACCATGAAGCTTTGAAGCCCTGTCGCCCAGCTAGTACTCGTCTATATGTGATGCGTCTCACTCTCATGCTCTCACTACGTGCGATGCTGCTCTTCAAACTATCCCTTCTCAACGTCCGGTCGAGGGTTGACCTAGCCTAGCAGTACGGCGATCTTGGTGAGTGTCCACGCGTCAGTGCCTTGTGCGATCCGCCTCCTTCATAGCCATATCTCGTTTCATCCCCCATTTGCTCGCGTGTTATGACCGTTCCTTGTCCGCTGCTCTGCCATCTCCGCAGGCTATGATCTTGACTTCGATGCCGAAGTATCAGGCCTCTCGTGACTGCTTCTTGGCGATACGCGGCACTCAACAGGGCCATCTACCCAAGAAGTGACGACTTAGATGTCGTGGCTCCGAGACCCCCGCTATCAAGGTGAGCTCCCATCTTCCTCCATATCAGATCTTCCCTGTTGACCTACGTCTGTGTTCGACCAACAGGGGAACAAGTTCTATGCTGTAACAGGACAAAGAGCCCGGGCCCCACCTCACGCGCGCCATTGAGGAAGCCACCGGCCGCATCTTGCTCTGCCTCTGGCGCAAATGGGGCTTCCTCGAAGCCTGTCTCGGCGCGCCTAGGGTAGGGTGCGCGCTCATCATGGCCGTCGCGCTGCTGATACGGGGCCCGCGCACGGGTGTGCGCGACATGACAGAGCAGCGTATTCACACCGTGAGACGCATTGGAGGCAAGCCGTAAAGGCGGGAGTGGTAGACGTTTCATGAGGAGGACATCAGACGAAAGAGGATGGATGGGACACTGGGAGGGACTTCGGAGGCGAACGATGGTGTGGACAGTCAATCGTCATTAAGTCCGGTATGTCGAAACTGTAACCTTACTTGACCAATCAAGGCTGTTCGTGATTTGGATCACAGTACTGAACATCTGTACATGGTGCGTCGAGATACCAGTTCAGAGAAGCTGAGATAGACGAGCACCATGCGACCTTATCCGCTCGTTCGCTTCCGGTATGCTTGCTGCTTCCCTCCGCGCATCTGACTGTCACGCATCATATTAGTATCTTGCATCCCCGTTCAAGTCAGGGAGGTAAGGCGCGTCCTCGAATCTTCGCAGCTCCATCTTGCACAGGTCCGAGTCTGTACGCGCTTTGGGGCCGACGATGCTGCCCACTTTCCAGCCTCCTTGAGCTGAACTTGCGCGAACTCCCTTTCCTGGAGATCTTCAAGGCGTGAAGGTGCAAGAGACACCTCTTCCCGGAAGGAAGCCACATATGCGTCTCAAAGCCGTTTTTGGCCTCGCGCTCATCATTGCGGGGTGGGCGTCTTGCTCGGCTATTTTGCCCTCAATGTTCTTGCCACTGCCCTAGCTCAACACCTTTGTAAAAGGTTTCTGAGTGCAGAGCACAGAAGGTCACGGTAGAGGCAGTCACGACTTCCCACTTGGTCGCTATACCAGCATTGCACACTCTCCGTCTCGTCTCACTGGGTGATGGCTAGTCGAGCCGTTGGCGTCATAAAGGTGGAGTCTTATGTCCGGACTGCAGTGCAGGATCGGGCTCAGACAGTCGTATCGATAGGATTGCCACCAAGAGTGGGAGAGCAGGACGAGCTATCAAGTGTATTGCGTGGCTTCTCCGATATTCAATGATTCTGCGACTATCCGCGCTGGTTGGCCTCGTTAGTGTTTATATCAGTAGCCTGGCGGAGCGAAGCCCACTAACATAAGATTGAGAAGAACGATTCTGTTGTTTATTTCCCTTGATCTGTACAAAGCGACTATGGTATAGTCGAAATGAGCACCCCTGTGTACGGGAGATGCCAAGAGCCAAGAAATCTACCCTATGGGTAGCCAGCCTCACGCCAAAGATTACCATTGCTGATGAATCAATCGAACACTACAAGCCTACGATGCAACTTCGATCTCGTTCTCTTCTTCGTCAACATGTTCGTGATGCGAGAGCTGTGCTCCCAAGGAACCAATGAAGCGGCTCGTGTTCCTCGAGGTCTGCGGTTGGAATGCAACTTCGCCGAGTGAGACTGACTGGGAAGATCCCGCCAGCTTGCGCTGAGCCTTCTGTAGGTTGATGAGGAACCTCGATGTAAGGATGGAAGTCAAGCTAGACCAAAACTTAGCGTGTCAGTAATATTCTGGAGGTATAATGCAGCGTAAACGTACGGTTCCTCCAGAAGTGCAATGACGCTTGTTACTGCCGCTCCCGGGTTAACGTTACTAGCAACCTAATAACCATCAGAAATATACCACAACAACCAGGAATCGCTCACCCCAGTTAGAGTGAACGTCATTTGGAGAAGGCTCAATACGAGCAGCGCTCTGTTGATTCAGGATGGCTGACCTAGAAACAATTGCGTACACTCACATAAAATAAATCGTCCCTGTGACAACATCAGACGGTGCTTCAGTATTACGCTCATAAGGCTCTAGTGATGACCTTTAGTACATACCATCGAGAAGAAGAATGCTTGCGAAGCTACGCTTGCCAAGGCGACGAAGCGATAATTTGGCGGTCTCATATGTCCGGAACCAGGTAACGCATAAAACCGTCAAATCAGACGCAATCAAAGAAGACCGCGTCGCTATCTCCACTGTCACGTCTCCTCTCAGAATGTGTCCGGAGTACATAACGCGATGAAACATGCACCGACATCTGTCATCCGCGGTGTCAGACAGCCCGTCACAGAGCAGTGTAGCAAGTTCACTTACTTCAAAATTGTGCTTGCCGATATTGGATTGATGAATACGATGCTGCCCAAGACTGGATCATTCACAGCTGTCAGTCCATACAGGTTTCCCTGTGAGGGGGGATATGCTTGTTGATGCTGCTCGACCATGGCAAAACGGAGGCACGCACCCACAAATCCGTAACCATGGGCACCGAAGATAGAGCGAAAACAGTTGCGGAAATGGGCCATCGATAAGGGTGAGGACATAAAGCATATGTTCTGAGTGCTGAGAATGCTATTGTAAGAAGCGGCTATGAGAGCTGTCAATTCCATACAGAACATGGGGCAGTCTCGTACCAGCCCATGGGAGATACTGTAGGCCCCCCAATACATTTGCAGCAACGAATACAGGAAATGCGCTGTGTACATGTCAGAACGCATTGTTCGGACTCCCTAACATCACTGCATACCTCTGCCATAGTGTCAAGAATTGATTGACGCATGCTAGAAGTAGAGACATACCTCCACAGACGAATGGAACGAGGTACCACTTAAGACCTGAGATGCGAGAGTGATGTATCGGTTCAAGAGAAACAGAATGGTTGCTCCGGATAGGTGGCCTCCCTTCCAGAAGAGCGTTACCTCGCTTCCGAACGTGAGGACAAAGTCGTAACAAAATAGCGCTGCAAATGTGACACCGTAGGCTCATGAGTATGTAGACGGTGTCGATTGTCCTCGCAAGGAACAAACCAAGGGCGGCATATGTCCAGTAACTTTCGAAGCTAGGCGCAATCTCAGAGGTAAGATGATGTCTAGGGACTATTGCACTGAACTTTACTCACAAGGCTTCGGATAAGAATTGAACATCTCCGTTGTCAGCCATACTAAGACTTCAAGACGCAGCACTGAAGGTGTAGAGGTGTCGCGCCGGCGTCGGAATGGAGGTATGTAGTTTGTAAATGCACAGTGTATGGCCTATTTATTGACATGCTTGAACCACACGGAGACGCTGTTCATAGCTGGCAGCCACAGGCATATCCTAGCTGAAATTTAGTTTCATCATGAGAGGAAATAGTATCAGCAGCCTGTCATGACAGTTAGATGTATGCTGTCTTGCATTCGGTAGTCCTGTCGCTCTATCTACTGCAAAGTCAGATGTTTGCATGTGCGAGTAAGTGACGGCATCCACAGATCGAGCAACTGATGCGACTGACCATCAACGTCTCAACACCGAATCAAAGTTCCGATGGCTCTGATGAGCAGTGTCTGCAGTCTTACATCCAAAATGCTTTCAAGAGAGGGCATGGGTACCTCGTACACTGCCTAAACAATGTAGATAGAGAACATTCGCAACTGAGCTAGTCGGTTTAGTATACGAAGTCGATTGCACTGCTTCGAAGCATCTCTACCGAGTGAGCACGGGGAGCCGTACCACAATAGCAATGGGGAGAGAATACAACATCGTGAGGAGCACTCTGCTTGACAATCATCACGACGTCTACTGTATCTCACCAGCTATCTCATCAGCTCGAATACAGGAGTATCATATGTGTGGCATCATGGCAGCGACGAGTCGGACTGAAGGACCCTGTGGCTGGAGAACAAAGCATTCCCGGACGCTTCATGTTGAAGCCCTGCTGGATTGTGGGATGGGATACGAATGGGACTGACCGTGGCTGGTGTGGCGGTAGATCAGAGCGCTAAGCCTGGAGTCTGAACGCAAAACGGTACGGCTACTGATATATCAGGTGTCCTTAGAAGGCTGAGCTTGTGGATCGGATGAAGCGAGTAAGGATGACCATCGCGATGGGCAACGAATTTGTCACGCGTCAGGTGCACGCGTGACACACCTGCATTGCGCAACTTGGACGCCGTCAGGCTCTTCCGGCGCACTGTTGGCTGTCCCTGAACTCGTCCATCCACACTATATCGCATGGAGTGCCTTGAGATCAACCACGACTCGCTCGAGGGCCGCGTCAATGAGCTTCAAATGAACGGCCTCCATTGGACCCTCATCGCATTCGTCAACTTGGCCCCAAAGCGGTCGAGCATCCGCACTCTCATGACACCCACCACGAGGCCCATATGGATGCCGGTGGAACAGCGCCGTCGCACTTAACATGGCCCATCCACGCGCCCAGCGAGGACATTGCTGTTGTAGCTGGCTCCGAGACCCCCGCTATCAAGGTGAGTCCTCATCGTCTCTCCAGCACTATGGCGCCCGGGACTGTGCAAAACCCACAGGGGAAAACCGAGGAAATAGTGCGGTCCGGCCAAGGAAATGGAGCAGAAAACCCTGGGTGAACACCGGTTTATGGACGAGCAAAAAGCGCGTCAAGATGACGGCTTTCCACGGTCAATCTGGTGTGGTCTCAGACAGGCGAATAACCTCGGTTAGACAGCGGGTTGGAAGGGTGGGATTTACATCTGTAAAACATGGGAATTTGCACGGTTTCCGGGTGCCGGATCCTCGCTTGCGCCAGCTGGATATCAATAGGGAATCACTTATGATGCAGTACAATAGTGTAGCTAAACACGCTGCAGATTGCAGTGTTACGGTCGCATTACGGCATGCTGAGTACATAGTACAGGTATGGATATCGATATAAACTATGCAAGCTCGAGACCCTCTGGTACTCTCAACGACCACGTCCTTTTGACCCTTGCCACTCCTGCAGTACATCCATGCCAACACTAAGGACACATATGGGAGTTTGGGTAGACGGAGTCAGATATTCGGGGAAGAGCAGCATATACTCACCGGGGAGGATGCAGATATTTGAGAAGAGTGACTTACCTCATCGATATCTTTGCCAGAATGGCCAAACAACATAGCTGGACTTACCTGAGAAACTCACAACTCT